CTGGGCCATACACAGGTTGGCTTCCTTGTGCCAAACCTTGCACCCACAGTGGGTTGGGATTTCCCAAACCCGGAAAAGGGGTCTACCCTTCGCCTTGTCTCAGCATCCATGATGGGCACAGAGCTTCCACGCTCTCGTCCACCTCTTGGACTCCTCACATGAGCTCCACTGGTATGTCGTGGGGGTGTATTCAACATAGTTCCTGAACTCAGGCTCCAGCCTGCAGTCTCTCCACAACGTCTTCTGGCGAAAATTCTCTCACCAACACCAGATGGTCCAGGCTCCTGAAGAACCTTAGTTCTACTCTACCAAGCACCGTATTCCTCCAAGATCGGTCACAACCAATCCAGTTCCAGACAAACCACCTTGCCCGGGCTCCAAAGTGCCTCAACAGCCGCTGAACCAACTGCTTCCAAGCCTGATGAGTCCGGATCCGCCTCCTCACAGGGTAGGCTTCCCGGTACTCACTTACACGGTCCGAGTACAAGAGATTCCGGTCCACTGGCAGTCTGGGCTCCAAACCCAAACTTGCCTCCAGGCACTCACAGAGTCCTGACAGACAACCAAAGACCATACACGGGCTCGTACCACAAGGCACAAGCTCCGCTACCACGTGAAAAAACGAAGGTCCCTCTGGTACCTTTTCCCTTGAAAGCACGAACCCTGACCTCTCACACAAGTGCGGACAGCTCTCTTTTTCACAGTCAGAGCCATTTGAGCCAAAAGTAAACGAATTCTCTCTTGTGAGCTTAAACTCAGCTTCAGAACTTCGTTCCTACACACTGCACACTCACTTTAAATAGCGTATTGGGCAAAAACACACTCGTATGATTTCCTTGGAAATCAACGAGGCATAAACCATCCAGGATGGGATCACACGGATTCCCAATCACTTCGAAGCAAAACAAACCTATGCAAGCTGATCCAAAACATGACAAAAACATTAATGATCAGCCACAATCTTCACACAGCAGGCATTAAGCTTAACCTGCCACACGCCGTCTTCTTCCAAAATGCAAAGCACAAAGTTACCAACACCGTGCCTCGGAGCTTTCAGTTGCAGAGGGATTGCGCTGGACGCACTTATGCAAAAGTGTGCATGAGCAACTTTAATTCGAAAGAACCTCAACTTCTTGGCTTGGTGGCCTGTGTTGCAAACCAGGATGGAAAAAAGCACCTTGCGGAAAGTTTGTTTCCCTTCGAGAAAACAAGTGTCAATCTGACCTTGCAACACTTGGAAGTCGACTTCTGCATTTCTTCAGATTTCCATTTATTAAGCAGTACGCATTGAAGAAGTTTTTTTTTCTTTGAGACCACACTGCAACATAATCGCACGATCCAGACTTGTGGTGTTTGGCAGTTTCCGTGAACGACCACGGTGACTTGCATGCGCAAGAACCAAAGATTGTTGGGAACAACCAAATTTTGGAACCCCCTGGGACGGAACCGGCAGTGGGTGGACAAGTGGGGCACGTGCGGCAAGTGGAGCAAGTGGGTCAAATAGGGCACGTGGAGGCAAGTGGTGGCAAGTGGGGTGTGGGGCAAGTAGGTCAAGCAGGGTATGTGGAGCAAGTGGGCCGGGTGCTGCTGGAACTCTCAGAGGACCAGGCAAGGGGAAAAAACCGGATTAGCATGGAAGCTGGCTTTGATTTGGCAAATAGTTCGCACTTTGCGAACGCACTCTGTGCTCTTTTCGAACACGTCCCGAATTCTGCACTACTGGTCTACCACGACTCTTCCTTCGTGTTCTAAGAGAGGGCCGTTCACCGTGGAATTCGATTGTGGTTGCTTTGCTTTCTTTGGGTGGTGTTTTGTTTAGTTTGCTGTGTTGCTTCTCCATGTAGCTCGACCGTCTCACCTCATCGCAATGGACCGGCCCACTGTGATGCTGATGTGGTAAAGGGAAAAATGAAAATTGACCAAAAGAAGGAAAAATGTTGTTAGTGCAGATGTGGGTGGTGGGGCTTCTGCAGTTACACAGAAGGTGAAGTTTTGTACGTTAACATGCGCGGAGTATGCAGCTTCAAGCTGTTGTTGCGAAAACTCAACGTCCGCACGATGTTGGGCAGTTGCTCCCATCAATCTCTTGTTGGAACAAAGATCTAACTTGCATGCATGATATTCTCCTTGTTCTGCTTTAAATGCATTGCCGACTCCAAGAATTTCAAGTTGCAATTTCAAGTGTTGGGTCAGATCACATTTTCCAAGGTGCAGTGGGGCGGGGCCAGTAAGGCAAGTGGGTCAAGTAGAGCAAGTTGGGCAAGGGGGTAAAGTGGGGTGCAAGTGGGGCACGTGGGGCAACTGGTATTTGTTTGGAGCGTTATGGAGATCTTCGGTGTGGAGTTCGTTGGGAGGACGTGCCTGAGGGAGCACAGCTATGCAGCGAACGCCCGCGCACTAGACGTGGAGGGGGCGCGCAACGAGGAGTTGAGGAGCAGTGGGTGCCCATGAGGACGGAAATTATCGAGGGGTGGAATCCTGACGACTTGTACCGGTGATGCGGATGCAGAGGACCACAATACAAAAAAATCCTATGTAGTGAATGTCAAAAATATTTGTACTGCCCTGCAAGACAAGACCTACGCAAAACACAACATGTTTCTGCATGAAGGCCCAGATGCAAGAACAGCAGCCACTGCAGACTCCACCGGCAGGATTCGACAGCAGCGTTGTGGCAGGCCAAATCTGGACTGAGCGCTTTGCAAACGTCGTGAACCTTGGTAGCCCCGTGACCATCTTCAAAAAAGCATTTTGGTGTTGGCTATTTGTTTAAGGGAATCGTTGGGCAACCAAGAAACAGTCCCACTGGACCCCTCTGAGCAGGGCATTCATCGCAGTACTCAGGATGTCGGGCGGCACTTTCGAGCTCCTGTGCTGGGAATAAGCAGAGCATCCACCCTGCCCTGGGCTTTGGAGCTTAGGGTCTGGGCTCCGGGCAAAGAAGTGCAAAGCCATCTGCCACTGCGCTTCCGACACTGCTTGTCGTGGCACTAAGTGTGATGCGGCTTAGGGTTCTAGGGTTTCGGGTATATAGGGTTTAGGGTCCACAGGGTTTATAGGCTTAGGGGTGTATAGGGTTTAGAGTGCTTGAAAGCGGGTTCGGGGCCGCGGAGATACAGAGGGTTTTGCTTGAAGCTGGGTTCGGCGAACCTTGCTTCTTCAGATCAGGTGGAAGAGAACTTTGACCAGCAAGGACGAAGCGTCTGACACATGGCAGAGCGTTGGACAGCTGGCAGACCAGTTGCCACTTTCCGCCGGTGTCAAGTGAGCTGATGGTGGCCACAGCAGCACAGGGTTCAGGGTTTTGGGGCCTAGGGTTTAGGGCTACACGGACTGGATGCTTCTTTCCGCCGGAAAACAAAGCATCCAACGGCATGAAGTGCTACGTACACGTGCCGGCTTAAATATATAAGCCCTGAACCTTCAAACCTAAGGAGCCAGCGCATCGAGTAGCATGGTAGCTGACAACGTTGGGATCATGTCGCCCTTTTTGCATGGACCACTGCTCACCTTGGCAGCAGCTGATGGTGGCATTGAAGCCTGGAGTTCCCTTCAAAAGACTGGGGCCCTGCCTGCCCCTATTTATTTGCGAAGCATGACACCCGCAAGTCACAGTGCCCAGGGCCAAGGTGCTCAGTGCAAACTCGTGACGTCCCCACACTCTGCATGCAGTATGGTCATCCAATGCGTGCCACGTAGTAGCGGCAGTGTACTCGCACCGCGCAGTCAGTGCGAGCCCAAGTTTGGGTGAGATGTGATGGAGATAGACTGCGGACCATTTACGAACATGCAATATTTACGCTATCCACGTCCCAGTGAGGCGAATTTTACACACGGAGGAAACCGTTGAGAACTCAGGCCTGCAGAACAAAACTATATTTTTGAACACATTTGGAGTTTGGCCGCTCTTCTTAGTCTCTGGCTTTCCCTCCAGTGCGAAGCCACAGGCCATAGGCACTGAGCCGCCCTCCACGGCAAAAACTGAAAAATCTCTTTTTTTCAAGGAACCCTTGAATGCATGTATAGAGACACAGACGTAAATATCCTCAATTGTCAATGTAGAAACAATGACGTGCAATGGCCAGAAATGCACCTTTGTGTCAGGGTACGATCACCGTACATCAAAACCAAGACTTCTCCACGAACTCTGAGCCTGAACTCGCGCAATGGCAAACTCTTCAAACACATGCACAAAGGAAAACAAACTACGGTTGTCAGCAAACACTTGCAGTTAACATGTGGCATTGTTGTGGTTGGGATATGCTGCAAAGGTGGAGCACCCCTCTTGAGACAGTTTGCACTTCGGCATGATGGCTCAAATCAACTGCATATCGATTATGAAATCAGTTATGATTAAATCGAATCACACAGGGCACACGAGCTAAGACAATCATCAAGGTTACACACGCTCCATGACACTCCCTTACTCTGCACACTATCCAAAAGGGGCTGCTGGGGGTAGTTTCCCAAATATTGGGATCTCACAAGGGTTTCAAGGACATGCTCAACAGTTCACATCTTCAATTGCTGTGTGCTAGTCATGCCCTCATAGGAGCAACCATATGTTCATTTAGGGCTTTTGCAGTGTCTGAAACATTCACACCTATCTACTTGTTTTTCGTGGGTGTACACTACTTGGATGGGAAGTGGCATCGATTTTTGGGTTCAAACTTGCAAGGAAACACAATTCAGGCAACATCTTCTCGCTTGCAGGGCCTACCCCTGATCCGTAAAGGTTGGTTTTGCAGTTGCTCGGTCTTGCTCGGTCTGCGTGGCGCCGGCACAATGCTCACAGGGGACAGCAAAATATTGTATACATGACGAGAGCGTGTTTGTCCTGCACTGTACTGCAGTCTTTTTCGTTCGTGATCAAGACAAGCCACAACAGCAGCAATACCAATGCTACCAATGAGCTGTGCATGCTGTGCTCTCTCGTCAGAGGAGGGTCATTGTAAGGTGAGCCGCTAACAATGTGAATCAGTGAATCGCTGTGTTGGAGCATGTGGCATGACAAGGCGCAGACACATATGCTTGGTGTTGTGCTGTGTCGTCAAAATGTTTACCCAACTTGCAGGGTTTGTGAGGTTTGTGCCCCCCCAACGATGTACGATTGTTGCGATGTAAAGTGCCAGACAGACAAGGCGCAAAGTTAGTTTGACAACAGGCTCGGGTTTCAGATCAAGAATCTAGTTGTAATTTGTTGTGCCGAAATTGAGTTACGTAGTCAGCTGGTGGGCCACCATTGCCTCGCAAGTGAGTTGAATTGGGATGATGTGCTCTTTGAGGGTCACGAGCCTAAAGTTGCACACGTTCGCGGTGTGACGACCCCGCATTGCATGGACATTGTGCGACATTGTGCCAGCCTGCCGTCATTATCGACAACGGGTCAGGCCATGTCAAGGCTCGGGCGATTCACGGGCGATTCACGACATTCACGCTGATCGAACGCCACATGATCCAGGCTTTCTCGGCTTTCTCAATGAAAAACTGTTCCTTTGCACAGGCTGGGGTCGCTGGCGAAGAAGCTCCGCGGTGTGTTTTCCCAGCAGTCGTCGGCAAGCCAAAACATGCTGCAATGATGCCAGGCGCGGGTGATTCATGATGATGTGTTTGAAACATTTCGGCCAAGCTTCATTCATTGGAACGAACAGTAGGCAAGGAGTTGTACGCAACATCATGTGGTGCTGTTGCAAAGGAATGATGGCTTGAAATGGAGGTATGCAATGTGAAATATGGCAACGATCCGTACTTGAGATGTTTATGCGGGATTGGTTGGTTTGGGTTCTGGAGCTTTTCGAAGCTAGTGGATTCCGAATGTTGGGGGGTGTTGGGGCAAAGACATTCAGCATGCATCATCTGCTGGGTTGTGCTGCTTTGTGCAGAAGGCTCTGGAGCCCTTTGTGAGAGGCAGTGACAAAAAAGAATACTATCTCGGTGAAGAAGCCATGGGCAAGCGCGGCGTGCTCTGCTTATCGTATCCAGACCGGACCTTAGCTGCCAACTGAAGTGGTTTTCCAGGTTCCTGGATTGGTAGGGCCATGTCGTGTTGAAAGCGAAGGCACACAGGCATGTTGTTGCAAGCATGGTCGTTAATGTGCATGGCCACATACGATGTCCAACGTTGAAGCCGGAGAGCCGAATGGAGGCACAAAAAAGACCAGCTCGAATTTGTCTAGTTCTGACACGACGATCATCATGTTTCTCGGGCAAGCTTCTTGAATGCATCACTTGGAACGTGTGTGTGAGTGCGTGTGCGGTTTCTGGTCGAAGCAACTAGGGCAGATCACACCCCCAACTGCCCCCTTTGCAAGCAGCAGCTACCCAGTAAAATTTCAGTTTCATGGAACAACAAAAGAGCCATTCTGTTAAATCGCAGTTTCTACCTGTCAAGATTCACCATTGGCAACGACTTGTTTACAGTGTATGTCAACACCCGACAACAGAGTCAGGCTCAATCGAATCATTCGGAATTGGTACCTCGACTTGACCAGTCGCAGAATAAGACATATAAGACAGGGTATCACATGTTTGTGGAACCTTGTCGGAGACGGAAGTGTAGCCTTGACTCGGGAAGATGATGATCTTTGATGTGGCTTGTGGGGCATGTCAAGTTATCTGAGCGAGATGAAATTGATTTCCATCCCAGTGCTGCCAAGATTGAGCATGGCATTGTCAAAGACTGGTCTGAGTTGGAGAAGGCCAGTTTTTCTGCATCAGAGGACTTTTCAGTTTGATATGCGTTTGCCAGGTGTGGCACCATACTTTTTTTGATGCACTACGTGTCAATCCAGAAGATCAAGCCTGCGTGGTGAGCGAGGTGGGTATGTTCATCTTGTCTTCAGACTGTGCTTTGGTTGGCCAAATTCAGGCACCCATGAATCCAAAAAAGAACAGAGAAAGGATGATCGAGATGTTGTTCGAGAAGCTGCCACCTCAGAAGATCGGCATGTATGTCCAAGCTGTCTGAGCTGCTTTCATCTGATCTTGATGGAGTTTAGCAATCTTTCTTGTCCACTTCGTTGGTTTAGCCGTCTGGAATGCCCACATCTCAGGTTTAGTTGTCCTGCAGCTTACATCGTGATCCAGGACTGCCCGGGCTTCGTTTGTTAGGCGAAAGAACCGAGACAGGGCGCAACAACTTGAAGCAACACAGCAGCAAACAGATACAATCCTTGTTCTAAGTAAGGAGAGAGCATCAGGAGCCTGACATGGCCAGGTGGTACCCAAACACAAGCCAAACCCCACAAAAGCCCTGCTGGTCCATTTGGGCCCACCCCGGCTCTGCTTGCAGCTCTGGTTGCATCGGTTTGTTGACCGCTGCTACTTCTTTGTGCTGTCGTGTGGTCCCATTCGAAGCGGGATCATTCTAGAATAAATCCGGGATGATGAGTGTTCAAGCGAGGAAGCCAGAACAATCTTCCCTCGATCGTCCCCCCAATGTGCGAGTCACAATGTCCTTTTCTGACAGGTACTCTGCCGCAGGATGCTGTCGCGGTTCCCGCTAGGGTTACTCTGTAGGACTGCATCCTGCAGGGATTCTCTGGGACCTGCGGGTCAAGGCACCAGGCATACTCGGCGGGATTTGAGGTTTCTTGGTGTCACTCCAGCCATACTCGGCGTGACATTCTGCGGGATATTTTGGGTGTGGGCACCAGGGATACTCGGCGGAACTCGCTGCGGAATGCTTTGGGCACTCCAGGATCAGGCCAGGAGACCGGGTGGGACACCGGGCGAGTATTCGGCGAGGACCATGGTTGATTTTAGAGTTAGCAACCCCGCACCGAGGGTGGGGACAACAGGAGAAGACATTTGCCCTGAGCGGAGGCGGTGATGTCTTTATACTCCTATGGCCGCACCACTGGAACAGTGGTGGACTCTGGTGACGGTGTGACCCACACTGTGCCGGTGTATGAAGGCCAGTCGCTACACGGTGACACATACTCTTTTGTCCTCCAGAATAGAAGACCTGTTGGCTGAAGGTTATGCGTTGCCTCACGCCATTCAGCGGCTGCGCTCCCAGGATTTGCCCAGCTGCGCAGAACTGCTATGGGTATTCGCCGGGCATTCGCGGGGCCTTCGCCGGGTATTCTGTGTGCGCTTCTGAGGTTGGACCTTGCTGGCAGAGATCTATCGGAGTACATGATGAAGGAATGCAGTTCGCATGTCAATAGATCATGTGCCACTGACAATGAAGAACCGCGCAGTGGGTTGTGGCTGCCATCAGATCCTTCACGACACTGGTCACAACATGACATCGTCCTCCGAGAAAGACATTGTCCGAGAGATGAAGGACAACAGCTTGCAAATTTCAGTGGCCTTGCAACAACACATGTCTCAAGAAAAGGCCATACCGGCACCGCAAGGAGACAAGCTGTTACGTCTGTACTGGTGACTGGAAGTCTGAGATGCAGTCTGCCAAGGACCCCGCGCAAGTACAACTCGCATGCTTTTGTAGGCTTTTCATCTCAGAGAACTTGTTAAGTGATGTTAAGTGGCCATCGGCACGGAGGAGCGGCCCACAGACTATGAGAAGATCTTCACCCTTCCGGATGGCCAGCAGGTCCAGCCACGAACTATTCACGTGTTTCCATGAGCTGTCTGCATTAATTACAATGGGTAATTTAGAGTGTTGCAAAGCTGCGCATGAACGTACACCGAGTCTCACCTCCTGTGTCATCTTTCGTTTGCGCACTCTCTGTGAAATTTGCAAAATGCTTGGCACCTCAGGTGCCCCTTGGCTCCGAGCGCTTTCGGGTTCCAGAGGCCGGATCTTTTTTGGGCCATTGAAATTCTGTAGAGCCGGAAGTTGCAGTCCACCATGCTGAGGTCATGTTTGATCCGATGATTGCAGGGAGAGAGCTTCCGGGGCCAGGAGCCAAGCCATTCTGCACCTATGACTATGTCTATTGAGTGTATTCCATCTCAGAGAACTTTCAGAGGCTGCATCAGTCCATCTACCGATGTATCCAGGCCCAAGTGCTGAGCGGAAGACAGCCTCAAGTGACTCGAGTGCCTTGTATCATCATGTGTCCAAGAGGCCTGCGACATAGACCTTCGAAAAGATCTCTTCAAGAACATTGTGCTGAGTGGAGGCACATGATGAGTGTCGGGAAGATACCCTGAGAGTGTTGTTTCATGAGGCAACACTATGTTTCCCGGCATAGCTGATCGGCTGGAGTCCGAGCTCAAGGCCGGCTCCCCAGCGCCCACCGCCAGCTGCACTGCAAGCGCATTGTCGGCATTGTTTGATGATCTTTGGTGGCTTTTGTCACTTTTGTCCATTTGCAGGCTCTGGCTCCACAGAAAATCAGCGTCAAGGTGATAGCAAGTCCACAGCGAAGGCATCGTCGGAGGGTAAAAGCTCTGAACTACATGAGCCTTTCAATATATTTTCAACATGTTGCGTTCTGTACATCCGGGCACCCCGCGGCTCGCGCGGATTCCGGAGTCACAGGAGTTGGGGCCTCGAGGAAGCGGCAAGGCTTCATAGCAAGGCTTCATAGCAAGGCTCTGTTTCAGAGAGCGACACTGTATACTTTTTCAATGTCCCTGCTCTCTTGCTTACTTGCTCTCTGTTGCACGACTGTTTGGAAAGACGCTAAGTGCTTGTGCATGCTTGCGCATGCTTGTACTTTTGCCACGTTTCGCGGCGTTTTGTGCAGCTTCGTGGCCATCTTACCTTCGCCAAGGCAGCTTGCTTTCGGTTGCGGCTGCTTCAACCTTCCACGCATGGCTTCGCCACAGTTTTTTGTTCCGGTGCATTTGCGCAATTCCTGCCTTCTTTATTGTCAAGGCCGGGATCGAAGACCTTGTCTTTGCAAACAAGGAATTCTGAACAAAAACGCATTTTGTTTCAAATGCTGAGCAATGTTGCCTGGTGAACATACTCGTCAAGCCTTTACAGAGTCATTTTTCTCAGAAGTCAAGCTTGTCAATGTGTCCGAGTCAAACAGTAACCTTGATTTGCATCTTTCCTGGGGCTCCCTGCGAAGCCAACAGCCGATATTGAGAATCCAATTAGAACATATTTGAATGCACTTCAAATATAGGACAAGACAGCAGACTAGACTCTGCGGCAGCGGTGAGGGGAGCCCCAAGCCGTGCCAAGCACCCTCTGTGCATGTGCTAGGGCTACACATGGGCTACACATGTGCTACGCTTTAGTTGAAGAAAACTAAGCGCAGACAGATTGGACAGCAGCGAGTGAAGGAGAGAACCCAACTCAGAGCCAGCTCAGACCGAGTGGCAATGCACGACATGCCCGGAACCTGAAGCAGGATGGCAGGCCGTTGTTAACGGTGAAATGTGACATTGAACATGGACCCGTGTGTGGCAAGGAACACAAAATGTTGCAGAAGCTGCTATCGTGGTGTCATTTTATACAGTATACTTCTGAACTGGATTTACACTGCTACACCCCATAGTGTCGGGTAGCAGTGGAAAGCAGGTATACGTCACGCAGTTCACTATGTCTGGAGCATACCTTTTCCTCAACTCATGCACGATGTTCAGCCCTCGCGGACAACGACCAATTCCTCCCGTATGGCCAGAAACGATCATTTTCTGACTCGGCTCTGTGATCTAACCTACGCCAACGACCCTTCACTCCTGGCAGGCGACTTAAAACCGAGCACATTCTTCACCTACTTGAGATCGCATCGCCGCTGCAAGGACGAGCCTCAGCAAACCAGGATTCGGGAAACCAGATCAGGAAACCTCCGCGCTTCAGGAAACTGTGGCTCGAGAAACTAGGCGATTCAGGAAACTATCCGATTCAGGAAAATTCAGAAAACCGCGCTTCAGGACACCAAATGGTTCAAAAACCAAGCGCTTCAGCAAGCTGGTTTTACGCCATTCAGGAAACTACACGATTATTCAGGTTTTTGCCCGAGTCAGGAAACCATGAAAATATAGGGTGGGTGCTGGGGGGTGGGGGGGATGAGAACTAGGATCATGGCCAGGGTGCTTTCAGAAAGCTTTGATCCGCGCTTTCCAGTTTCCATCAGTTTGCCAAATCCGCAGTTTTCCGAATCTGGTTTTCCAGTTTCCTCTGCAGTTTCGAGTTTCCTGAATCTGTGGTTTCCATTTCCCGTTTGCGCGGTTTCCGCATTCTTGGTTTTCCAGTTTCCCAAATTTCGTGCTTCCAATTTCCGAATTCGCGGCGTTAGCTTCTCGAATCCGTGCTTTGAGTTTCATGTAAAAATTCCAGTTTCTCGAAACGCCTTGTTCTAGTTTCCGAATCCGCGGTTTTTCAGTTGCCACTTGCGACCCAGCTACAAGAGTTGTTCAAGGAGTGGTCGTGTTCTGATACTTTTTTGCGATCCCCCACCTCAGGTCGCCTCGCAGGTCACGATCTCCTTCTTGAATCTTGACCTAGCCGTAGTGTATCTGTATCGTCGCGTGGGTGCTACTTGTAAAGTATATAATATCAGGAGTTGTTTTTGGCAAAGTGTTGGTGTCAGGTACTCGTAACTATCTCGTTGGTTGATTTATTAACTGTTGGACACTGTTGTTGCATGCGCGTTTGGGCACCGTTCACCGGGTTCGTGGCCTGGCGTTGTACAGTCGTAGGGAGCTCCCAAATTTGGCCATGCCCGTCTTTCCCGAGACGTTTTTGGCATTTGTGGTGGGGTGCACTCGCTTGCTGTGTCATCTCCCCGTTGCTTTGGAACATGGTTAGGGAGTTAGGGAAGTTAGGGAGGTGGTTAAAGGATGGCGGCTGCTGATAGCCACTTTGCCAACCTGACCACTCAACGAACAAGAGCATTGGCAGGTACATCGTTTGGATGGGAGCCTCCATCCTGACTCGACTTTCGCATTTCCAGAATATGTTGATTTCGTTGCAAGCTCAGAATTACTTGCAGTGCTGCAGCTCACGACATGGTGACATGGTGTGATTGGGCTCGTGCTGGCCTTGGCAAGGAAGGCAGAGTATGACGATGTGGGCCCGGCCATTGTTCACAGCAAATGCTTCTGATTTTGGAAGCGTGGGCACGACTGCATCGGTTTCAATGCAGCAAACGGCAGTGAAACCAGGTGCCGCATTAGTCACAATCACGCTCTGTCTTGCAGTGCAGTTGATGACAAGCATGACACAACATACGCAACGCTATTCTTCTCCTTCGGCGGCGTGTAACTTGCACTGGGTTGCAGTTGCATGTCGCACACTTCGCAAAGCTGGTTTGTCCATCAGATTAGGCTTGTTTTCTTGCACACTGATAGCTGAGGCTTCGCACACATCAAAAGTTCTATCTGAAGTTCTAGGTATTTCGAGAGGTGCGGTCGCATGAGCTCACGTTAAGTATGCCACATGTGCCGGTTAGAAGGCCTGGCATAGAGGTGTCCTCACGTTGCTGGTACGAGGTTTGTTCATGTGTAGCAGGGAACAGACGTTGTGAAAGTCTCATCAAGATGGTTTCAGTGCCTAGTCTGCATACTGGTTTCATGTCTCAAGCGAGAGAGCTCATGTCTGAAGCTTCCCAGAAGAGACCGCAGTCCACATCCCAAGCCAGTCCATGCAGATGTTGTCGAGTCTAATGGTTACTGCACTGATGAAGTGGTAGCTTCTCTTTGGTAACGTGACATGCAGGGAGCAGCTTCACATCTTCACACATGCCTACGGGTTTGGAGGTATGTGTCCTTTCTTTTGGAACATCTTTTAGCATCTTTTTGGAGCATCTGGTCTTGCCACGGAACCCGTTACTTGAACACATAGCCTTCTCAGCGTGTTTTGAAGCTCACTCCATTGCTCCGTGGTGAAGCAGGAATGCCTGGCCCTTACATGCACCATCATGCACCCGTGCAGTAGTGTGTCCTTGTAGACACTGCAGAGTGCATGTAGTTCCTAGTTTGTCTGAGGACTTTGCTTCTGGGAGCTCCTTCTTTGGTCCTGGCACCGTTTCTCGCACGGTGCTAAGGGCCATGGTAGTGTGATCAAATGTGGCAGTTGAGATCAGCCCAACAATCAAATAACAAACCAGCCATGCCACCGTGCCCGTTGATCTGCTTGCGAGACCTTATCCAACGCTTACAAGATTAACTGCTGGAAGTTGGAAGGTGTTGGTTGATTTGATTGTTTCGCACACTCCTTGATATCTCCTTGATGTTTGTTGTTATCATGTACATATTGTTTCACTTTTTGGTTCTGATCACGACGCAAGACCCACCGTTGAATTCCGTATCCCGCCCCATTCCGTCATTGCAACTCGTAGCGATCACCTGGCGCATGCTTCTGATGTGATTCGTGCTCGGCAGTGCGTCTCAAGACACAGCGTTGACTGCCGGCGCAGGTCGCGCGCAACAAATCGCAGTTGTAGCAGTCGCTTGTTGTTGCAAGATATGCCTGGCTTGGTGGTTGTTTGCGAGCGGCGAACACCTTTCGTATTAATATATATATATATATATTTACACATTTGCTGGGGCCTTTGTGGTAGTGACATGTGTCCGTGGTTGGAGGCGAATAAGCTTGAGCCGGTCATTGACCATGGCTTCTTTACATCTTTTACGTAGGCTGTCGTCCCGGATTCGCGCCGGTGCACTGGAGTACGCTGCCTTGGCCGACGGTATTAAATGCGTGTGTGTGTGTGTGTGTGTGTGTGTGTGTGTGTGTGTGTGTGTGTGTGTGTGTGTGTGTGTGTGTGTGTGTGTGTGTGTGTGTGTGTGTGTGTGTGTGTGTGTGTGGAAACAGGTATGTTCATCCTGGAAAGGCTTCACAGCCAACTACTTGCAGGGGGGCAGAGGGGGTGTGGGGGGGCTCTGCCCACCGAAGCTCCTCCCCATACCCCAGGAAACGTACCTGCTTGTCTGCGCCTGGGCCCCGTTGTGGGCAGCTGGCGGGACATTCATTGCATTCATCCTCATCTCACTTCGTGCTACGTCATTCCTTCGTGTCTGGCGTAGCAGCAGGGGCCGCAACTTTACCCCTGAAGGATCATCTCATCTCGTTTTCGTGTGCCATTCCTGTGGTCTGGCACACATGGTAAAAAACTTTCATCTCATCTTCATTACAAACATATCCAGGCAAGGTCACTTCCACACAATCACAATCAGTGTGTGATTGGGTTGGGCTTTCCCTCCTGGGCGCCCGCCAACGGCAGGTAGCCGAGCCTCCAGTTGGAGGTACGATCGTCCGAAGCTTTTAGGATGTGACGGTCCGTGCGAGCCAAGGGTTTCTTCCCGATTCCTTCTTTCTTGGTTTTGATTCGATGTCTCTTTGAGACGGGTGTCGAGCTGATGTATGTTCCCGCCTGAGGTCGTGTTTTGTCAGGTTGCCGGGGGTGTGGGCAGGCTCACCATCCCTTCCCTTCTTGCTCTCAAACTACCTGCCGCAGAGGTTTTGTTTTCCAAAGGGTGGACTGGACCCTTATCCACCACTTCGTGGACAGGCCCCGCATCCACTCGAAACCTAGTGGCGGCTCATTCAAAACCTTTTTTCGTTTTCCATGGGGTTGTCAAGCAGGTTTTAGGCAGTGCGAGCGCCAGGGCATGTGCATCACTTCATGCCTGTCTGCGAGTGCAAGCAAACATGTCTGCAGTCCCTGCATGAGTTGGCCCTTCCGAGGGCTGTGTGTGTGTGGAAACAGGTATGTTCATCCTGGAAAGGCTTCACAGCCAACTACTTGCAGGGGGGCAGAGGGGGTGTGGGGGGGCTCTGCCCACCGAAGCTCCTCCCCATACCCCAGGAAACGTACCTGCTTGTCTGCGCCTGGGCCCCGTTGTGGGCAGCTGGCGGGACATTCATTGCATTCATCCTCATCTCACTTCGTGCTACGTCATTCCTTCGTGTCTGGCGTAGCAGCAGGGGCCGCAACTTTACCCCTGAAGGATCATCTCATCTCGTTTTCGTGTGCCATTCCTGTGGTCTGGCACACATGGTAAAAAACTTTCATCTCATCTTCATTACAAACATATCCAGGCAAGGTCACTTCCACACAATCACAATCAGTGTGTGTGTGTGTGTGTGTGTCTGTCTGTGTGTGTCTGTGTGTGTCTGTGTGTCTGTTGGGGTGGGGGGCGGGGGGGTAAATATTGTGGTTACGTTTCTGCCCAGCTCATCCGGCGACAAACCCGGAAGCCAGAAATTGTTCTCCCCCATCAAGCATTCGACTCCCGAAAGTGCATTAACAACCTCACCACTGAATTTCATCAAGTAAGATGCAAACGGTTGATCTTCGGGCAATGAGGGGGGAGAAATTCGGAGAAATGGTACAATTTCTGCTAGAATAAGTGCCGCACTGCAATGCAACAGGCGTGGGATACCACCACATCCAGGGGTCGAGGCCGGGCGGGCATGATCCGCCTCCTAACCATAAGAGCATGGGGCGCCCAAAAGTGCCCAGGGGGCGAGCAATTTGTCAGCATGGTGTGAGCATCAGGAGCCTCATGGCGGCGTGCTGGGGCAAGGGTACCCTGCAAAACTGTGCACAAGCTGGGCCGCTGCTCTAAGGAAAATATGACGAGTGACAGGAGAAAAGAATATACAAACACAACGCAATCAGACACACACACACACACACACACACACACACACACACACACACACACACACACACACACACACACACACACACACACACACACACACACACACACCCCAATCATGTTACATTCAGGCCTGCACTTGATTTCGGCTTCGTTGCTGCTGTGCTGGATGGGTGCCTAAATTCTAGTCTGTCTGTTTCAGCTTACCTCCTTGGATGAGTGCTTCCGGTCTATGTTTTCATTTTCCTTCTTGGTTAGTGTCCGAACTGAGGTACAGTTGTCTGTTTTACTGGTGAGTTGTCATTTTGTTTTCCAAGTTGGCTGAGTACCAAACGTTGATTCTGTATTTCCGAAAGTGTACTTCATGGTGTCTTTTTCTGGTTAACATGTTTTCTTTGTGGGAGTTTCAGCATGTCCCTTCTTTTGAGGGCATTGATGTCACAAAGCGCGCGAAAGCATTGAAGCTTGATGGCTTTAAACAGGATGGAGGTGAGGGCTCCGTTCTGGCAGCAGCTTGCAAATCTTGCAAAGCAGCGTTTGACAAGGAGTGCATGCAGAGCGTTTGCCCATGCTTTTCCTGCACGAAGCCCCGAGCCCACAAGCAGGAGTGTCTCTGGACTGATCTCATCGAATTTTGGCAGCAATGTGAACGGAGTCCGCAATCTTTTGAGGTAGTTATCGCAATGCCACAGGTGTAGGCAAGTACCAGGTGTGGGTTGGAGAGATCTTGATTTGATCGGTGAATGCTTTGAAGTGTCAGGTCATGCACTTCGAGCCTGCATTGCATCACTACTGCAATGCTGCGGATTGCAGCACGCAGGTGCTCTACTGGTGTCTGTTGGTTGCTCTTGCTATTCATGCTCTTCATGCTAGTCATGCTAGTCATGATATTCATGCTATTCATGCTATTCGTTGTTGGACACCTCAGACCCGGCTCCAGGCTTTGCGATTCCGACCGGGCCAACAGTCTATGGAAGAAGCTCTTCACTGAGTGATCCTTCAGGGTCTGCAGACGTCTGCAGTTAAGCTGATAAAGAGGATGAAGCTTTTGCTTCCGTGAGTACTTTGATTCACGTGGCTTCGCACACTGCGACACCAGGATCAGTGCTGCATGATTATTTGGCCAACTGCCACAGCACTTCTTGTGCATTGCCCCCCCCCTGCTCATTCGGACAATTGTTGCCTGTAACATCAAAAACAATCCATGCAACCCGTGAAGTAGGCCAACGTCACTGTGGGCATTGTGGGGACATGTAAAGCCTGGAGATTGGTAGTTGCCTGTGGCAGTCCTCGGTCTTTCAGGCCAATCAGAGCGTCACAAGCCGAGCAAAATTACTGGAACTTCTGGCAGAGCTTCGCGAGGGTGGAGCTCGCCAGGTGGGGGCAGCTCATTGCAGGTGCTGGAATGTGAGGAGAGTGAGGGGATTCGCAGGCATATTTGGCACTTGCATCAACGACTTGCGAACCCTTTGTTCTGCAGCCGCGGGCACGTGCACGCCTTATAATTCATACAATATGCATCGGAGTATTGAATATCAGCACTTTGCATGGGTGCACTTAGCGAAATGCTGAGAGTTGCCTGCTTACCTTTCGATGCTCGGTACTTGTAAGGCTTGATTTTGGAGATTCACGAGCTGCACGATTGGAACAGGCACTGACTCTCAGTCTTTATTTGTTGACTTGGTACTTCATGAGCCTGCTGTGTACAGAACGATTTGACTTGTCCTGTTTTTTGGCGGGCTGTTTCACAAGGCACCAACGTCGCCTTCTTCACTTGCGTCAGGCAGGTCATGCGGATTGCAGCTGGGATGTTGATCGCAGATTGTGAGAGGCAGACTGTATCTCCATGGCATTGGCTGACCACGCGGCCACACAAAGGTACTTCGTGTCATTGCGCTGCGTGTAGGGTCGGTTTTTTCCGCTCCTCGCTTGGGCATGGCAGGCTTCGAGAAGCCATCCTTCCCGAAACCTTGGAACTTGTCGCCCTTCAGGCCAGGATGGGATTCAGACACACACAGGCACTGTAGTCTATGCTTGCTCTATATATGCCCCTCCCATCCCGCATCAAACAAAGACAGGCTGTTGTGGCTGGTGGAGGCGCGACCAATCGCGACCATGTCCCGACAAGCCCGGCTTTGCTTTTCCGCTGGAAGGAAAGCTTGCCCGGCCAACAAAGCTTCAGCCGGGTGTGGTGAAGGGCCTAGCAGGGTGCAATTCGCAGCCATTGCAGTCGAAAGCATACTTCTTTGGCATCATTGAGTTTATCATTATGCAGTTTTATGCATTGAGGAATTTTTACTGAACTAGAAGCGGATTTGGGGGGGGGGGAGGGGGTGGGGGTGTGGGGCGGTGTGGGGGGGGGGGGGTGGGGGGGGGGGGGGGGGTTGGAGGGTGGTTTTCATTTTGACAGTGTTGCAAACATGGGAGGATGGACAGGGTGGGAGGAGTGGAAGCACCCTTCAACCACTTTTCCCTGAGGACTTCTAAGGCCCCTAAGCCAAAGTTGCAAAAGGGCTAAGCTTGCCCCAGCCCACACCGACAAGTCGGCTTCGAATCTCGGTTTTTTCTAAGATTGCCAGCCGTGCCGTGAGGTGAGCATAGCCATTGTGTTTTTCACGCTTCATTCGCTACAGGACCCCCGAGCTGCGACCGGCCTCATGCCTTTTGGGGGAAACTTGCGTCCAAAACCAAGCAATTTGAACGGCCCAACGGAAGGCAATGATTTCAACAAAAGGCATCGAGCAGAATCTAGCAGCCTTCAAGACCCTGGCCTGGCCTCGGCGGATGCCGATGGTAGTCGATCGTAGTCTGCCCCTTTCGATCTCTACGATCAGCTTGTTCCCTGAGTGCGGCCTTGCACGGGATGTTTCATTGGCTTCGGAGTACGCTGTCGTCTCGTGATGGCCAGATGCGGCCTTGCACCGTGCTGCTTGAAGACAACTTCAGCTTGCCGTGCCTTCGTGTGTCTACTCTTATCTGCTCGTGCTCAACGCAGTCACGTCGAACAGAAGCTTTGCAGCAGTCTTCATGCAGTTTTGACGGCTGTTGAAGGCTTGGACGCCCGACATGGAGCAGTCCCTTGTGAAGGCGCCTTTTTTTGCATCTGAAAAGTGTCTGAAGTCTTTGGGCTACGCAAGCACGTCAGCGCCTGCTCTCAGATTCTGGAACGGCGTGCGCAACAGCGCCGCAATTGGTTTCGAAAGCAGAGGGAATTCTTGCTTCAGGCGAGGGTTCAGTTTGCTCATGCTCCTCCTGCTGTTGATGCTGGTGGTGCTACTGCGCGTGTCGAAATGACGACTTGGCATGCAAAAAGCACGAGCTTTACTTCCACGATCTGTCTACTCAGTGTTGTCACTCCTTTTTAAATACAGAAAGGTTCTTGCCCGTCTTTATTGCTGCTATCATTGTTACTCTTCAACTTTGCGTTTTTACAGTTTTTCCCCAGACACACCGTTTGGCTGGGGTCCTCTTCTTAGATGTCGCGTCCCCGTCCTCGTCCGTCGGCTCCCCTTCTTCTTAGCCTTCAACAACGTGTGATCCATTGCGCTTCCTCCTAGTCCTAGTTGTCGTCACTGCGTGCTTGTCCTCTCGTCCTCATCCTCCGCCTCCTCCTCGTCCTCGGACCTTTCAGTAGCAGAAAACGTTTGCGTCGCAGTTTTTGGTCGGGAACGGACACGCTCATCCCTGCGCTTCCCGCAACTTCGCGCTAAGTCTCGCGTGCAAATGCATGGGCTGCCTTTTGCATTCAGGGGCGTCTGCTTGGGGTGAGTCGCCCTTTTTGCCCGCGTGGGTCGCCTTAGGGTGGGCACCCTAGTAGCGGTCGTTATCGTAGCAACCGAACAACATGAGCAAGTTGTAGTTGTAGTTGTAGATGTAGTTGTAGTTGTAGTTGCAGTTGCAGTTGTAGTTGTAGTTGTAGCTGTAGTTGTAGTTGTAGATGTAGGTGTAGTTGTAGGATTAGTAGGTTGAGGTAGTAGGTAGATCGGGGGAGGGGGGGCGGGAAACTAGTGCCAACCCAAAGCCCAAACCCCCGAATCACGCAAAAGCCCCGGAGAAACAAACCCAAGAAGCCACAAGCCACAATCGACAAGCGTCAGAAAATCCTTCTTCAACTTCACGCGAAGAAAGCCTCCAAACACCAACATCAGCGAAAAAGACATGTGAATGCCGAGACACATGGATATGGGTGCCATTGCATCTTTCTACTCGCGTTTCGCGCGTGGAAGTAAGGAAAGCGCGTAGTCAAGCATTGTCCGTTGTCTCCCATGGTCTCCGATCATGAGCACACAGGGTCACCTGGTTTCCGGTGATCTCCGATCATGAAACAGGGCCGAATAGGTCTCACGCAGTTCGGTCCGTGGTTTTGCTGTGGTCTCCGATCAGGAGCCCGTGGCTTTTTACGCTCTCCATGCCCTTGTGAGGGGGTCCCTCGGGTCGGTCTGTGGTTGCATGTGGTTACGCATGGTCTCCGGTGGTCCGAACGTGAGTGCAAACGGTGAAAGGGTGGGTGCGGTGTGCTGCGGTCCGATCTAAGAGCGTACAGGGGCTCGGTGGGTGTCACATGTGTCACAAGGTTCAGGCATTCCTGCTCTCTCATCCTTCTGGGTGTCATGCTGTTCGCAACGTGGTATGGAGCACACACGGGTGAGGCGTTGGAGCTGCGTTGGAGGATAGGGGATACGGGGGGTAGGGAAGCGGTTTCGCATAGGTTTTTGCAGGCAAGCGGAGGGGGGTAGGGGGGAGGTTTGGGTAGGGGCTAGGTAAGGGTGGCGAAGGTCCGGCAATTTGTTTTCACTTATTTGTTGGGTCTGATATGTTTTTCTCATTGGTTTGCCGGTTTGCTGCAAATAGACTGGTTTGTGACCTCCTTGCATGCTTTTGCTTCTATGTTGTTTTGGCGCCGCCGCCACCGCGGCCGCAGCCGCCACCGCGGCGGCCGCCGCCGCCGCTGCTGCTGCTGCTGCTATTACAACAGAAGGACGTGATGAGGAAGAGAGGAAACGCAAAGGAGGACCAGGAGGAAAAGATGATGAGGAACACAACCAGGGCTGCGACACTTGCGACACACGACGGTTGCTGCTCTTGCTGCTGCTAACATCCCCCAGTGTTTTTGCCGTTGCAGCCCGTGGCACCTGTGGGAACGTTGCTTTTCGGCAATGACACATCTGACACAAGTTTAGGCATACTGACATTGAGTGTGTGGAAGGACCTTCGCTGGGAAGATTGGTCTACCAACTGAACCAGTGGCTGCCTGGATCTGTCTAAACAGCAGGCCTGTCTGGACACCAAATGATCAATAGGGCTACTTTTTCAAATACTGTAAGCACTTGGAATTGCTGCCTCGCCCTGCTTCAGGTCGGCCACTCACAAAGCGATGCGATGCTGTTGCTGGTGACAATCATTATTTAGTCTGTTGCTCTTGATCCTGGAGGGATGCTGCCGGCTTGAGTGTGGACAGAGTGAGAACCTCTTGGTTGCCAGTCGCACAATATTGCGTAGTTCTTTACTGTGCCATGTGGATGATCAATCAATCAAGCTCAGCTCGTTGCTGTTTCTTTTGAAGCTGACGCGCAATCTTGTGGCAGACGTTTTCGTCTCACTCAAGAGTAGGAGGTGTGCCATGATGTCTTAGACGTCTCCCGTAGTGGCATACGACCAAGAGCACGAGAAAAGGCTGTGTCTACAGTCGCCCATGCAATGGCCGGCATGCAGTGCAGCTTGCTTCTTCATGCCCCGAGCATGGCCACCAGAATTCGAAGGCTTGGCCCGAACAAGAGACTTCGAAGAATTGGGTACAGTAGCCCCATGTTTCCCTAGATGTGCGGATCTCTCCACGCAGATGCCAGATCATTTCGCTGGCGATCCGTTCTGTATACCTTGAGTGACGCACGTCACATGCGCAGTGGTCAGGATGCGATCACTTGCAGCAAGGCAGTAAGCTGCTGTGTCCGGGCCCAGGAGTGGCGACAGGCTCTGCACACCTTGGCCTCCGCCTTCAGCTTTGGGCTTCGGTATGACGCGGCCGATGCGGTGCTCTTCAACTCTGTCTTACCTGTCTTCGTCAGAAAGGGGGGAGAGTGGGAGGGTGCCTTGGAGATCCAAAGGACAATGAAGACTTTCGGGATCCGGTACGATGCGGCAACTTGCAATGGCAGCTTAGCAGGGTGCAGGAAATCGAAAGTGTGGGTACGAGCGGCGAATCTTCTTGCTCTCACCGCGACAGTCAACATACACTCGGACATAGTTCCCTGGAACATTGTCGTCAGCTCGCTCGAAATGGATGCGTGGTCCCGTGGCCTGTGGCTGCTTTCACGTGCGCGAGCAGTAGCTGTCCGGCCTGATAGCCACACGTACAACTCGGCAATCTCTGCATGTGAGAAGATGTGGGAGCACGCCTTGACAGTGCACACTGCAGGGAATTACCACGGATCATGCCCGGACTCAATTACCTTTGGTGCAATCATAAATGCATGCGAAAAGGGCATGTGCTGGGAATATGCCGTTTCATTCCTAAGGCAGATGGACTGCGCTCGTCTGGCCAACGGCGTGGCTTATTCTGCAGCTGTGTATGCGTGTGACCACTGTGCTCAGTGGGAGCGTGCTCTTGACCTGCTGGATGAGTTGATGGAGTCTGACATTCAGGACAGTGATCATAGTCGAACTAACACTGTTCACGCTGAGCACATACAGTAAGTATTGGATCAGTAGTTTCTTCAGTCTCCCGGCATTTTTGGATTGGGTGGCGAGTTTGGCTTTCTTTCTTTCGACTGGATTGAGGATAGCTTGCTCCTCGTAAGGTATTGTTGACATCTTCTGGCCATGTGCTCCGATGCCTTGGGTCATGCTTGTATCCCAACTTTGTACCCCGTGCCGTAACTTTTGTGGTCGATTCTTTTGTTGGGTAGCTGTTAGAATAGACTGAAGAAGGTAAAATAGCAACGCGGCGGGCCTCACAGTGGCTGCATAATCCAGCAACATCCAGCAACCCAGTCGGTCAAAGCAACAACCCCACCGTGTGTAGGTTGGGGGTAGGCTTCTGCAGGGACGGAGCGTCTAAGATCGCAAAGCGGTCCGTGGATGACTCTGTGACGGAGCTTCTTGGCCATGGACCTTTCAGCAGCTGCAGCAGTAGAATTGCTCTGCTCTCAGTTTCAGTCTTCGGTTGTAGACAGCTGTAGGTTTTATCCTGTTCAGAGGTCACCGCCTGGGCCGCACCTAGCCTGTGAGGGGGACGTCCAAGGCACTGCGGGAGTTTTGTGAGCCGAATGTCAGCCAGCGAAGTCCTTGCTGACAGGGCTGGATGTTCCCCGTCCTCCGCCTTTGCGAGATGGAGTGCCATTGACCCTGAGCTACAGCCCCTCGGCCAACAGGGGGAGTAGGACTTGGCTCGCCCGTGGATGTAGCCGATGCCAACCATCAACATCGCCGTTGATGGCCAAGGTGACTACAGGTGGCCTGGGCGTGTCGCCTGGCTGTAAGATTTTGCTGTGCCATCCTTGTCAAGATTTTGAAGTGCAGGTAATCACCGAGAGCGCTGCCATTGATGGTCAAGCTGGTCTGCTCATGTGGTGGCGACATGTGGAGAGCCTCGGCTGAGCAAGCAGCTGCACGGGTATGTGCCGCGCCAAGGCATCTTTTGATGTGTTTCCTTGTCGCTTGTGACTTCGGTCCGAGTTTGCAGCCAAAGCCTCCTTCCCCCCGGAATCTCCAGGAACCTCCTCCACCTTGGCCAACGAAAAACCGCTGGAACTCCTATAAAGATTTCGGGTTGATAGATCCTCGCCCGGAATTGTTTCAGGCCAGGGTGGTTGCGATATTCACTTGAACGTATCTTGCAATATTCCTGCCACCACACCTAGTGTAGGCTACGCCGATGGCCCACCAAAGGGTATGGAAACAAGACCGCGCTGGCCACTTTTGGTGGTGCATCCGCCAGGGCTGCCTTCTCTTGCCCTTTTCATTAGTGTGTTCACGCCGCTCGATGAACGCCTCTTGCAGTTGGGTGTCCTGACTAAAGTTGGGTCGATCACGGCCCAGAGTTGGGTATGCTGACGACATCTGACGACAACATGGGTCTCTATACCGAACCACAGCTCCAAGCCCCCTACGAGAAGGGTTGCAGCTCCACACCCGGGCTCCAGAGGGTTCGCCGACAGGGAGAAGCTTCAAGAGCAGTTTGCAAAGGGGCCTGCGATAAAGGAGCCAAAGGAGCCGAGGACAAAGGAGCACAAAGAGGAACACAAAGAGGAGCACAAAGAGGAGCACAAAGAGGAGGGGCCGAACGCTCTCTGGCGCGGAAGCAAGATGTTGATACTCAAGGCTCCAGGGTCAAACCTGCGTCAGCTTCTTGAGGAAGCGGGGCTCTCGAGGGGCCTTACCAGCCTAAGCTGGAACAGCCGGTGAGGGGGATCCTCCAAGAGACGGAGCAAGTATCTCCCATGATCCGTTGTGCTGGGCCGCCTGCTCCACCGAATGAGGGTCAGAGCCATGAGCTCCTGGGCCCTTTTGTGTCATCTAGACAAGGCATCGGCTACGTTTGCCAACGTCCAGAAGACGATTCCTAGGCCCGTTGATTTGCCATACCTTCCGAACCGAAGTGAAGATCAACTTTCGGGACAACAGTTCCGCCCGGTCGCTGGCAAAGGCTCGGACACTGCTGCTCACCTGAAGGAGAACTGGCCTGAGTGTTGCGAGCTTCGTCCTCTGCACGTGAGCCCATGACACCTCGAAACCTTTTTTTTCTCGAGCAGTTTTCATCGTTGGAGCCTGGCCTTCTCCAGGATCTGCCCTCGCGTCCTGCACGTGCCCTCTTTCCTCAGCGACATGTTCCCAAGCCCTGTTGCAACATATCCCCGCCGCAGTCTCCGGAGCGATGCTGGCTTGCTTTCGCCCGAGCAAGCTTGAGTGTTTCCCGAGACTTTCTGTTGCCAAGGCCTTGTCATCGACGACTACTATGCGGTGCCCATCGAACCGGTCCTTCCGCCCTGCTGCTGAATCCCGAGCCCAGGCCTGCTTTGATGTCGCCTGGCCACTTATGAGCGTGCCGGCCTCTCGGGATCCCCTAGCAAAGAACGGCGAAGGTTGCGTGAGCACAGCTTGATTCCAGTCCTAGCACCAGGTCTGTGGGTCCAGTCCCGCCGCCAAGAGTCCGCCAAGAGGATCGCCTTTGAATCCCGGTCCCTTTTCAGGGCTTGTCTGTCGCACACCACTGATTACCTAATACGTCCTCGGGCTGGTATCCTCTATATATGCCACCGACAGCTCAGAAGAACGGGCCATTGTCTAGACCCGAGCTGGCCCCGCGCTCACTTCGGCTCTTTGGAGGTCCTCGATCCAAATAATGACATACCAGGCTGCTCTGGGGCTCCATTCCTTGACAACACCCTCTTCCTTCTCCCCACGATCGGTGAGACGCCTTTGAAGTTTGGCGGGAAACGGTCCGGCCCATCATGCCTGATTGGCTTCAGATTCCAGTGGAGGCACGTATCCTCAGCCCTCATCGCGCTAGGATTCCATGTCTTCGATCTGCGAGACCCTCTTATGATTTTGTGGCAGCCACATGCTGGAGACAGGGCTCCTTGTTCATTTGTGCCCTGCGCAACTTTCTCTTCGGCCGCTTCTTCGGCCTCGCGTTTTGCTTGCTTTGCCGGCCCTCGCCCTCTTCTTTGTCGCCCGCCTATTTCAATGATCGAACAACCTCCCTTGTTGAAGATGGCATGGTTGCCTCCGTGGATCAGCCTCCGCTCAAAACCGGATGTGCTGGAGACCCGCGCCGTCTCTTGCACGTTTGGCTCCCGCGCTCCACGCCCTTCCGTTTCTCTCCTATGGCTTCCCTGCGCAGGCCCTTGTGAGGAAGTGCAACGGGCTCTCAGCATGTCCGCGTTCGAGGCAGCAACACCAGCGTGACCTGCGCGCAGGGTTGGCTTTAATTTGTGGGTGTTTCGCAACTTGCTAATGCAACCGCATTGAGATTGACAGACCCATACGCCGTAGATGCCATAGACACCAAGAAAACGGCGTAAAAGAGGGAGACAAAATTTGAGACACTGAGCTGAGGCCGGGTGATGATGACCAAGATCTCCCGCAAGCATCGGGCCAGTCGTGGCACTGGGGAGGCTGTTGGAGCCACTTGGCGGCATTCTACGAATCCTACGAATCATTGTGCAAGTTTGTGCAAGGGATCGGCCCACTCCGAAGCAGTGGCAGCAGGCATTTAATGAAGGCCTTTCTTGTTGAATGATGAGCTTCAGATGGCAAGCGCATTGCTGAGATTTGTCGGACATTATCGGTGTACGTTACACAACGATGTTTGGAGATCCTGGCCGGGAATTTCTCCACGGTGACTTGGCCTAGTTACTAGTTAGCCCAGTTCTCGTCTTTGGTTTGGTTTGAAAGCTTGACAGATCATTCCCTGGGCCTCAAGGTGGAGCTTTGCCAGTTGCACGATTTGCACCGTGGGATCTTCCGGCGGAGCGCATCGCTCTTCTGGTGTTAAACCCGCTGAGCATCACTTTTGCGTTGCTCAGCTTCGTTACGTCGCAAAACGTTACGCCTGGCTTGCAGTCTTAGCGAAAGGCTCATTTGTCGGGGGCCGGTGATGTTTTGTTTGGGTGATGCTTTGAGAGGGCTGGCCTCTGATTTTCGATGGAAGGGATTTGATCAGAATCAGTGCAACAACCAAATGATTTTTTACGGTGAGGAGGTTCCAACACTGGCGAAAGCGCTTGACGGGGGGCTTTGAGAAGGAGGGGTTCCCAAGCTGTTCTCAAGCTGTCGAGTCCTAGAGTTTGTAAAAGAGGGCTGGGGTTTGGAAGCATCACCCCACGAGTTAGCAGCCAGCAAACGTGAGCAGTTCGAGATGAGGCTAAGTTGTCTTCTTGTCTGGCAGCTTATGGAGATTTTCCCTCGTGAGGGTGGCGGCGGCCCCAGAGCTGCGTTCCGTCAGAAAAGTGTTCCGTTGTCCCAGACGAAGTGAAAGGTGTCTTCAACATGTCTCGTCCAGCCCACGAGCCGGCCCTTCACAGCTCGATCGCCACTGCCGTGAGCTGCAGCGGCCTCATGTGGCCTTTGAGTATTCATAGATATAGTATTCGATCGGAATCAAGTGTTCTAGGTCTGAACAGAATCCCAGGTGCCGTTGCAGCCGTGGTCTCACTATGGTGGGTGGGCTTGTTCAGCTACTGTGCGGCTTGGATGCAGCATTGGTATTGAATTAACAAACCTCCGTGGATGCACCGATACAGTGTGCCATATGTACCAAAAGTGTTGCAAGAGTGCACCAAGCATGAGCGTCGGTGGTTGACAGTATGCAAGTACTTACGAACGCAGTCAGCCAGGTTGGTGAGAAGTGCAGCGCTCAGAATGCCCTTGTGACAGAAAGAGCTTGCAATAGCTTGCTTGGACGATGTCGCAAGGTACAAAGCCACCCATCTCAGCCCAAAGGCAACCTCCAGGCACGGATAATTTTAGATTTGTGCTCTCAGGGTTTGGAAGGCGCATCCGCTTACGTGTTGCGGGGATGCCCACCTCAGACGGGCCTAGATACTTCGCGATAGTTTCGTGGAATCTCGTGAGTTTTCACGGTACGAGGTTGCTATGCGCGAAACGCTCGAAGCGGATTGTGGAGTTCCGCAGGTGGTGGTGGCAGAAGGGCTTCAGTGAGCTCATCCTGGAGATCTTTCTGGGGCTCTGTGCGTCCTGCTCAGCCTTCGCTGTTGCATCAAGCGTGGTGGTTGACCCGCATGCCAACGCAGACAGGTTCAGATGTTCATGGGCTGGCCCACTAAATCACCAATCACCAACAGTCCTTGTGTAATTAATGTGTTTTTTTCATGCGCACATAGATTGGCTGCATGTGAAACGACGATCGACCTACAGCAGATCTCCGTGGCATTTGCAGGTTGATGAGCCTTTTCTCACTATGTTCTCACTATGTCCCGGAGACATTGCCCAGGCAGCATTCGCATCTGAAGGTCTCCTCACTGTCGGTCTCTTGTAATTTTGTTATCTTGGTTCAAAGGCACCGCGGAACAATGAGCTGTCAGTTTCCATGCACAAACACCAACGTTGAATTTCAGCAAACCTCGTCTCGTGGGATCAATGAGGCTTCGGACAGGCCCAGCCCGAGAAAAAGAAGACCACAAGTAAGTCTCCGGAGAAAACAAGAGAAGTGGAAAAATGCCCCAATGCAGTGCAGAGGCCAGAGCACATCAGAGCACATCAGAGCACATGGAGAACGCACAGAACGGTTTTTGGCGTGGTTCAGCATCCGCTGGGACTTTCGAAAGTGGAAGTATGACAAAAAGTGCTTGTCTCCTTGTGATCGGCGTGATGGCATTCTGGGTCGAGGACCCCCCGAAGTCTTGTGGTAGAGGAGTTAGCCAGGTGATCTTCTTTCTGTCCCATCCCTGTCATGTTAGGGACCACTGTCATGTTAGGGACCACGTGTTTTGGTGTATTCGGAGTGAGAGAGTGTTAGATGTAGGGTTGAAGCTTCAGGGTTGCAAGCGGTTGCAGCATTGTTTTGGGTCTGCGATTTGGCAACAGCTTGCTTTAAGGCTCATTTCTATAAGATTGAAGGCTGGACTTGCCATGATTCCGTTTAGTGGCGGACTGCTTGAGCCGACCACCGAATCTGAGTTGCCTCATTCTGTCATACTGCACCCGTAACGTAATGCCGAGGTGGTTGCAGTGGTCATCTGCATTCTGACAGAGATGTTTCAGCACGATGTATCGTGCCACAACAGGCACTTGTCCAGAGCACAAGTACTCAAAGTCAGGCTCATGCTGACATCTATTTCATGCAAGGCTTTCGGATGATGGCCGCCGTCTCGCCACGACTTGTATACGACAGGCTACGTGGCTGTTGCACTGGCTGAATTTCATTGTCGACCACAGAAATCAACAGTCAAATGTCTTGGTTTCTTTGTCTTTTGGTCATTGGTCCTTCTGTGAATCTACACAACACGCCCCACGAAACAAAGCAAAGACTTCCTTTAGCCTCCTTGATGAATTTAGGAGAACGGGGAGGGGTGTCAGGCAGAGGATGGGGCACAAAGATTCCGCGCCTGTTTAGTTTTTTAAGACTAGGTGGGACTTTACTACAACTATATCACTTTATAAGTTTAGGGTTCCTCTAATTTCATATTCGTGGAGCTAAAAGTTAAACTTTTATTGGGGGGTTAAACAGCAACCAAGAACACTCAGGCATGGGCATGCGTAGGTTCAGGCAGATTTGTCCAAGAATATGTGGGGACATTGCTGGGATTAGTGTGCCTGCTCTTCTTTCAGTTTTAGTTAAGTGCATGGATCCCAACAGCCTTTGTCTGCTCACAAGCTCTTCTTTTCTCGGCGCTCTAGGCACATAGCCCGGTCTCTATCCCTGCCCAGCTTCTGCTTACCGTGTTGCCCTGATCCTCTGTGATCTCTTCTTTGTCCAAAGTTGCTATCTGTCAGCTATCCATTCACTTGAACCAAACAAGAAGACCTTGCAGGGAATCTGCAAGGGCTTCTTATCCCTGAATGTCTCTGGGGCTTCGGTATAAGCACCATGAGAGCGAGCTGCTAGAACACCAAGAGTCCTTCGCACGTCCCAGAGGCCCTCCGAAATCAGGAGTGCGCATCCGCACGGAAACCACGTGAACATCAGTCAAAGCAAGGAAAGCCAAGAACAGAGGAGAAAAACAAAAGGATCGCCTTACCGAAGAAGGACCAAAACAAAGCTCCACTGTAAGAAGTGCACCAGAAAACTAAAATCTCGGAGGTGGGCGTGAACCAGACCTGCGGTGTCGACGGCTGCTTCTGCGGCATGTTCTCAGACTTGCTTTGTGACGAACCTCCTCTGCCAGCACAAATCTGTATCAAGGTCTTGGAACAAGCCAGCACGTTTGTACGGTTGTTTTGGTGAGTTCTGGAGAGTCTGATGAAAGTTTGACACTCGCAGGTGGTGCGGCCTCTTTGTGCAGCGGCTGGTACGAATGTTCGCACAAGCGGCATGCACGGACACCTGTACACCGTCCTGGTTACCTGCATCGTTCTCTGTGCTTCTTGCCTCACTTGATAGCAATGCATACCAAGTTAAGCGAAGAGGTACGTATCAGTTCTGTTTGCCTGCAGCAGCTGAGGTGTTCAACTTCGTGAATTGGACCATTACGTCGTGGGCAATGCTGTTGAACTGGCTCGGATATCAGATGAGGCCAGGAGACGGCATGAAACAGCATGAAACAGCATGAAACAGCATGAAACAGCATGAAACAGCATGAAACAGCATGAATCAGCATGAATCAAGCATGAACAATATTGAACAGGAGCGAGGAAGGAGTGAGAAGCCAGTTCCTTGAAGAAGTAAAGCCCCCTTGTATCGATGTTTGCATTTGATGAAGGGTGATGACGAGGAGAATAGTGATTATGACGAGAGCTGCTACTGATGATGGAGAAGCTGGTAATGTCTTTTTCTATTGGTGGTGGCGATGGACAAGTTAAAAGCAAGCCGTGCTTGATCGTGTTGTGACGGGATGTGACGGGCCGCTGCGTTCTCCGCTGTTCTGCCTGTCCTGGTCGCAGTGGAGTCGGCGGAAGCAGAGGGGTGGTTTCGCCCACTGCGACTTCTCCGCAAGCTGTGCTTACGAAGTATTGTGGCCAACAGCTCATACAACGGAGGCTGATATGCGTGCTTCCGCAGACTGTGGCTGCTTGTTTGAGCAGTGTTTTGTGTTATTTGCAAGAAGAGAGCCAACAAAAGTTTTTCGAGAAAGTAGCAATCCTTGTCTTTGCAGCCTGCCACAGCTTATGGCTTTCCTCTGAAGGGCAAAGGGATGCTAAGGGCACGGGCACCGTAAGGGCCGCAAGAGCAGCGTAGGGGCTCCGGGCCAGCAGTAACAGCACCGACACCGACACACCGCAAGCGCTCGCCACAAATACTGGCATGCAGAAGACAAGGCTTTCGTTTTGCCATGCCAGCTTTACGTGCTTTCGTTAGCGCTGGACGCCGTGAGGAATTCGCAGGTCATCAACAAGCCCGTTGAGCCAAGCACGCAGCCTCTTGGTTGTCAGGAATCCTCACTCTGTTTTTTTTTACATGTGGTCCGTGCTGACATGTGAAGCAGCATGCTCGTGCTCGCAGAGGTACCATCGCTTCACTGTTCTCTTCGACTCTCCGACGGAAGAAAGTCTCGTCTTCAATGTCGATTGCTCTGAGGATCCTGAGGCCCCCCATTCTGGATTCTGCAGCTTGCGAGCTTTGTTTTTGTTTACGCTTTGCAGTTTGCAGATGTCAGGCGGTAGCTTGCACCCTGGCGGGCTATGATGAGCCTTGGAAAGCAGTCACTTCTGCAGTTTATACCGTACCACTTAGAAGTGTTGAGAAGGACACTTTGCCTTGATCTGCTTCGAGTATCTTCTTGCGTGGCTTTTCAAGCCAAGGAAATCTGAGCGCGACACGCGCGATCTGGTGTCTGAAGCGACAACTTGCAAGCTTACTATTGACCACCGCAGAGTTGTAGAAGTCAGGCAGTGCAAGTGCAGTATTGTGGAATAGGCCGAATTCGGCAGGGAGTTAGCATAAGTTTCACTCAAGTTTCACGCTTATCACCCCTTCGCATGGAACAGTGTTCGAGTCCAAAAAGTTCCTTGTCTCATGGGATAGGTAGAGGTCATGCGCGAAGGCGCGTTGTCCACAAAAATTTGCCTTTTCCTGCAAGGATTGCATGCCACAAAGAATTCAGCACGTTCGACAATATGTTCACAGGCAGCTGCTGCAGTTGCTTTCTCCTTGAGTCACTTGTGTTTAGTCCCAGATTGTCGGTTGTTGTTGCAGTGTTGTCTATTCGTTGAATTCCTAAGTGCTTAATCGCTCGATGCTGGACGCGCGAGAACAGTGGACGTGCGAGAACAGCGTTCGGCACATCGTCGTCTTTGTCAGTGGCGGTGATCCCGCGGGGTGCAGGGCGCCATCGACTTATCTTAGCCAAAACTGGCCGATTTCGCCTCTGCCGGCCCGGGCACGACAAGCCGCGCAACCTCGCGCAACCCTTGCGGCGAAAGGATGATTGCTCATGAATCCTTAGTGCATGGTGCACCGTTGCGGCGTGCAGACCGGCCCCCTGTGTCTCAGAATTGACACGTTGGATCGTCGTGCTTTTGAACATTTTGAACGTGAGTGGTGGGAATGGAGGGGTCGGGCTGATGGGTCGCCAAGCCTTTCGACCGTCTCTATTGCTGCGTCTCTATTGCTGCATTGCCACTGCTGCGCCTGCTGCTGCATTGCTGCATTGCTGCATTGCTGCATTGCTGCATTGCTGCATTGCTGCATTGCTGCATTGCTGCATTGCTGCATTGCTGCATTGCTGCATTGCTGCATTGCTGCATTGCTGCATTGCTGCATTGCTGCATTGCTGCATTGCTGCATTGCTGCATTGCTGCATTGCTGCATTGCTGCATTGCTGCATTGCGCTGCATTTGCTGCATTGCTGCATGCTGCATTGCTGCATTGCTGCATTGCTGCATTGCTGCATTGCTGCATTGCTGCATTGCTGCATTGCTGCATTGCTGCATTGCTGCATTGCTGCATTGCTGCATTGCTGCATTGCTGCATTGCTGCATTGCTGCATTGCTGCTGCATTGCTGCATTGCTGCATTGCTGCATTGCTGCATTGCTGCATTGCTGCTGCATTGCTGCATTGCTGCATTGCTGCATTGCTGCTGCTGCTACTGCTGCTGCTGCTGCTGCGACGAGATGGTCGTGCCGATGTTGTGATCCCTGTTGTTGCTGCAGGAATGCCATGTTTGCTGATGCTGATCCCACTGTGCTTGTCATTGTTACCTTGCAGGTATTTAGCAGGTGGTCCAGAAGATTGCTTGAAACATTTTGTCCTTGTTGCGCTGCTTCGTCGCTTTGTGAAAAAGAGCTGCTCGGTGGCACATCAACAGTTGAAAGTTGCAATATCGTGGACTTTTCACAAGCTTTCGTTGTTTTTCGCTTCTTTTTATGGCTTGCCAGGTCATCCGTTCACATATATCGATGCGCATGCCGGCAGTGGCCTGTACGATCTGAAATCTGACGAGTCCCAAGTATTTTGCAATCACGAGGATGGAATCGTGCACATCATGAATGGAGTGCGAAAACAAGTGGTGTCTGGTGCCGTGTATCAGCTCATGCACTCCACCTTGGAGAAGCGGAATGCTGCCTTGAAGAACCCTGGCTTCCAGCACTATCTGGGCTCGGCCGCTTGGGCCCTGGAATGGCTACGGCACCAAGACCAGGCTGCGACGTTTGAGATTTCAAGTATTTTCAAGGGTTGCATGTTTTTCAACGAGCCGCAAGCTGCGTGTATGATGTGATATTTGTTGGAACGGTCTTGCAGGCTGTAGGCTGACGGCTTGTCCTAGCTCATCATGGAATATAGGTATTGTAGGTCCGACGTAGGCCCTTTAGATTGTGTCATGATGACGAGCGAGTTTCAATGAGTTTTCACAAGGCCGACAGCACGCAGCTTCAAAACCTAGATAAAACGACAAGCAAACTACGTTTCGTACGCCTACATAGGTGCCCAGAGCTTGAAAAAAACTGAAAGGGGCAAGCAATCGAGGTAGTATCGAGGTAAAGGTCCCACCCATGTGGGTTCAAGCAAGAGGGGCTCAAAATGGAAACAGACATAGTTTCCAAAAATCTTGTACGAAGGAGAAGAAGTAGGGACAGGCTCAAACCCAGTTTTCTGGACCTTGGACCGCGGATCGTCGTAGGTAAGGGTTGATGGCTCTGCAAATAAGCTTGTATGCGGTCTCGCATGATTTATGTTCATGTTCATGTAGCTGTAGTCTTCCACGTTAAGTAGCACTTTTACAGCTTGTGTGGGGTCTGGCCTCATGTTGTCTCCATACGACTTCGGCAAGGCGACCCACTAGATTGCTCGCATTCACAAAAAAGACCAAAACGCAGAGAGTTTGCCTGCAGGCAGTATTGTTCGAGCTGTCGGCCGAAGTCATCGCGGACTTGCGGCGCAGCTTGTCGATCTTGACCCGTACATCTCAAGCCTCCGTCAGGGTGGTTCAAGCGAACTCCTATGAACAGCTTATCCGCAATCCGCCTCAATGTCACCAAAGGCAATTGATTTTTTTGGATCCACCATATGACTCTGCAAGCACATATTTCACGTGGAATATATACATGCTGCGGCGGCTTTACAAGCACTGGACGTCTGCGACAATCGTGCTTTGGTTTCCGTATTATTCGCCAGAGCAGACGGATGTGCTGTTGAAGCGAGTTCAGCAGCTACGCCTCGGTCAGGCTTGGAATGCTGCATCATACTATATCATACTGTTCAGTGTCCTTCAATGAGGGATGGGTCATGATGCGCCTTTGAAACTCACAGGTGCTTGTGGTCCAAATGATCTTGCGCAGACGCTCGCGCCAGCTGCTTGGCTCGGGACTTCTGGTCCTTCGCCCGCCCAGCTACCTCCAGGACTTTTTCACGGCGGCAGCATGTAGGAGTTTTGTCTATTGCTTTTTTGCGTTGCAAAGTTGACCTGTGGGCAACTGGAGGTGTCTGCGCCCTCCTTGAGTGCACGGGAGTTATGGAGGGAGCACGAACAAGGCCCCAAAGCGGCAACAGCTGCTTTCGCGGGAGCAGCATCCAAGGCTCAAATCAACACAACGAAGAGATGAGATACGAAAGAGCAAATTTCCCGCGAAACGAACCGTCCACCGATCCCGTGAGGAAATAACGCGTAAATTCAGCATCTTCCAGGACGAACAGCACCGAGCTCCAGCGCCAGGAACGCGCAAGAAAAGAACAAACAAACTGGGATTGGGAGGGCTTGGCTTGGCACATGGCGAAAGAATCCGCAGACCAAACGGCGCCTCTGACAGAACGTGAGCATCGTGTGAACCAAATTTGGGATCAGGAGGGGTCTGTTGCATTTTTGGGAAAGCCGCAAGCAATGCTTCCATGATTGCACGTGTGGCATTGATTAGTACTGTGATAGTATTGTGCCATCTAGGCCAGCTTTTGGGCTCTTTCACGGATGCAAAAACCGGCTACCGATTGCAAATCAGCTTCTGCCAGCACACCGCACATGAGCGTGGTGTAGATGTTCACTTTGTTGTCGCCTCGTTGTTCGCTTTCGCCAGGAAGAATTGCAGGAAAGTTTGCCTGAATTGGTGCGAATGCTTGGTGGACCTGGAAGTTCGGCAGCAACAATGTGTTCATGTGTTGCTCTTTCGCTTGGTGGAGAGAGTGCCTGTAAGATGCAGATGCTACTGTACTTTAACCGCTGACGCGTCAAATTAAGGGTTCACGTGGGCTAAGTAAGGGGGGTAGGGGGGGGTAGGGGGTGCCACAGGACAACCATGATGAGAGACGGGGTGGGTGGGTTAAGGGTGGTAGAGGGGTAGGCGAGGTGGAGAAAAGGAAGGGGTGAAGGCAAGGGGTTCCCTTGCTGGATCTATACGCCTCAGGCCTCCGGCCTCGGCAGAGAAGCACGGAACAAGTGACATTAGGCCGTTAGGCTGTCAGAGCCATCAGCTTCGTGACTCCATTGCTGGCTCGAAAGCTCGCAGGTGTTGTGACAGAGTCCGTGTATCATCTTCTCACGGCCGAGTGAGCATTGAGTTAGCATTGTAATTAGAGGAGCACTGTTCACTGTTGACTTGTTGCTGAGCCAGATGTTCAGACCGGCATTCAGCTGACGCAGAGAGAAACATCGAACATCCGCAAGTACTTGATTGTGGTCCTGCGCGGTCGTAAGCCTGCAAACTGTTGAGCCAGGCATCAAGGGCTTCATTCCCATGTTGACAGGATAGCAATCGGCAACATGGCGCATCGTTCTCTTTCGGGCTGGGCAGCGACCCAGAATTAGCCGTGATATTTGATTTGTTTAACTCACGAGCAGCTTGGGCTACAGGGTTGGGGGAACCGGCGCATGGCGAGGGGCCCCAAAGTGTCCTCAATCGGTCGCTGGAAGGTTGGCTTTGGGGTCTTTGGGGTTGGGGTAAATAATCAAGGACAGCAGCCAGACTAAAAAGTCGATTTTTGACCAGTCGGTTAGTGAAGAGTGACTCGTCACATCCACAGGAGGTATTTTCACCCAGAATCTTGAAGCTTCGACCTCAGCAAAGTGGATATATGCCTATTCGACCGGTCTTCTAAATTTAGGGTTTAGGGTTTAGGGTTTAGGGTTTAGGGTTTAGGGTTTAGGGTAAACCCTAAACCCTAAACCCTAAACCCTAAACCCTAGTGGAAAGCCACGACTGAACATGGAACTTGGATCTTGAATGACTGCACGTGCGTTTGGAACAATAAGCGCCACGCAGCTCTGAAGGTTTGTGTTGTTGTCCGATTGCCATTTACAGCACCCGGGCGAAGTCGGTTGGCAAAGGCTTGGGTCATGGCTCCAAACTTTGAGCATCTCAGCATCTCAGGCAATCTCAGGCAATCTCAGGCCATGTCTACGCTGTGAGAGGCCTCTGACATGGCAGACTGGGCGGGTTCTTCCAATGGCGGCGTGGCGCTGATGTCCGAAGCTGAGCTTGGAGAGCAAATTGGGACTGAGCTTCTTTGTTCTCGTGGACAGGCCCATGAGTGATGCACCAGGCAGGAAAGTTTGTGTGTGTGTGTGTGTGCTTTGACCCATGTAAAGGCCGCACAGGCAGTCGAGACTCGTCAGAGGTGGCATTGCATGCTGTCCGAGTCCGAGCACGCCAACCGGAACCTGCGCAACGATACCCCCAGGCACACAGAGTTTGAATACCACACGTTGACTATGTGATATTATGTGATTATCTCCGAAGCATCCTGGTAGCCTAAAGTAGCCTGTACGAGCCTTGCGGATCTTTGCCAGATCCCTGACATCCCCGGACTGGTCACGATACCTACAGTTGCAGGTTACCGGCTTATAATGTTGATATCGGTGGGTATCGAAGGCACTGTCTGCAAAACCCGGCTTTTGATCCGAAACAGACATGTCAAATTTAATCATTTGTACATCCTGTTCTTCGCTACCACATCTCAAGTGCCTCACCTATCTGCTTCAAAGGAAGGTCTGATTTTTGGCTACTCACATGCTTTCCGCCTTGCTGCTGACTTCTCAGCTGCTCCAGTGCTTTGCACCAGCGCTGTCAGTGCATGATGTAGAAGTGTGGAGCTTATGGTGTCTGCTCTCTCTATCTCTCTCTCTCTCTGTCGCTCCGTTGCTACGGATGGATACAATGTTCGACTCCTCGCTTCCCATTGCGCATCATTGCACAACGTCCTCAGATCACAGGTCCTCAACAACGAGACGGTTTTGCGATGTTTTGCGTGATCTGTTGAGGTTTCGTTTTTTGTCCACCGCTGGTCATAGTCGAACCATTGCTCGAAGCCATTGGTCGTAGCCATTGGTCGTAGCCATTGGTCGAAGCCAGTGTTGCATTCCTTCTTTTGAAAGGTGTTTGCATCATCGCTGCTGTGTGGTGACTCTGCTGCAACGATAGTATTCAGAGTTGGTCGTCCTTGGCGTTGGTTACTGCTGTACCAGAAGAGAAGCAAAGGATACCTGTGCAGCAACAGCCGCAGCTCCCATTGCCAGCCCGTGCCTTCCAGGCTTTTGAGCCCTGTAGCGTGTCAACAAGTTTTATGAGATCATTTTCTTGATTTCTCCTACATTTCTGGAGGCAATCAGCCCCACCAAGTCTTCGAACATTGCATCGCTGTCAATTCCGCACGTGTCTTCCCCGCCGGTGGCACCGCCAGAGCTTGAAGCACCAGGATTCCAGGAGGCTGGGGAATGCGCTCATGTGCATGTGAACTCCGCGGTCTCCATACATCTTGTGAGGTGTCAGCACCACCACCCCCGTCCCAAGAGCCATCGCTTCCAGCTCTGGAGAAGGCTTGGATTTGTGCTGGGGCGTGTGGAACATTGTGGAACTTTGATGGGCTGGGCATTCTAGGCTGCCGTGCACCGAATAGTACCGAACACCCAGAATAGTAGATGACAAGCCTCGATTCACAGGATGCTCTGCCATCTGCCGGTTCCCGAGTCGCCAAAAGTGTCGGCCTTTGAAGGCCTTTGATTAAACACGTCTCGAGGTCGGGTCCGTTGGACATGAGGAAGGCACTTGCAGGCCTTGCGCCTTCGTCTTCAAAAAGGCGGGAGACGTGGGGAGACGCCGCGGGGAGACAAAAACCGCGTTATCCCTGGCAGGGGTGTGACAGTGGCAGCCAATGCACCTTCTGCCACCTTTGCCCACCGGGCAGGGCACCACAGCACGGCAGTATTCGGTAATCACAACATATCACAAGACATGTCTCAGACAATCAATGTCCAGGCGAGAAGAAACGACGCCTGAAAGAAAGGGGGGCAAAGAAGGCCACAGAGGCACACATCGGGTTTGTTGGAGCATTTGGAGCTGGTGCACTCGTGATCCTCAGTACGGTGCAGCTGCGCACTAGTAGGCCGGCTCGCCATTCAGTTCATGGGCTGAATAGTTCGATTGTGCAGGGAACGAGCACACCGTGAACTCTTCGCAAAAGGCTGCAGCATTGCATAGGACCTAGTCACGAGTCACGCTATGTTGCTCTGTTTTTCGATGCGCAAGCTCCAGAAGCATTCAGGCCAGAGAGACTGTCCATCGACAGAAGTGGTTTGAAGAAGGATTCCCTTCGACTTGTTTTCCAATCTGGATAGTTCGGCACAGACGGTACAGACTAGTACAGATGGTCAGCCTGATTCACGAATTGCATTTTGCTGGAACCGGCTGACGATTGAGCTTAATGAGCTCAGTTGGCTACCAGAAGGCTTCAGCGGAAGCTGTTTTGGCACTATGGCTTCTGCGAGTCTTAGGAAGCATCGGCATTTAGAAGATTTGATATGTTGCAATTCAAGCAGCAATTATGGTTGTTTTGAAATGTCGAAACAGTCAGATTATCATGACGACACTACGACTGCCTTAATGCAGTCCATCTGATTTCTTTTGATTGTCATGATCTGAACCCGGTATGTGTGGAGTAGCGGGTTTGAGCATCCTCCACCGCATCAAATCCTGGTTGCCTTTTTCTGTACCAGCTGGCCCAAGGCTCAAGCTGCGTGTTTTCCAGCAGTTTGTCAGCTACGATGGCATTTTTGTGCAGGGATGCCCAAGGCAAAGCTCCCCATCCTGTTGAAATTGGAATATGCTCAATTTTGATCGAAACTCGGAGAATTTCCGGGCGGCATTAGAGGATCCACAATGCGACGCCTGCATGGATCGCTTGATCCGGCTGCCCCCTCTCACTTGTGTCACCTGCCTTGTACGTTTCCATGGAACTGAAGAGAAAAGATCGAAACCAGACATGCAGCACACAATGTATTCCAAAGGAGATCGACGCTGCACTGCAGCTGTTCTGAAGCGCTGGGGACAGTGAATTCGGCTCAAGTGATACAAGCAAGAGTCTTACATGCTGACTTGAATCACTTTCGCATCAAGTGTGCAGCAAGCACTGTCAGTGCGGTGGACGCGTAAATTGTTGAGAACCAAATTCTTTTAGGGTGTCCGGTCGCTCGGCCCGCTAGGCACCCAGGACCCGGCTTTCGAGAGCTGTTCTTGCGAGGCGATTTGTTCAAGTGCGGCGCTGACAGGGTGACGAGAACCGCGCTTAAACATCTCAAAACAACGAGCGCCCAAGGGTCAAAAGGAAAAACCTGGGGAAACTCGAGGACTTGGACTGTATCTGGCCAGAGTATCATCGACGCGTTGCATGGATGTAGAAAAGGCAGATAAAGCAGTTTCGGTTGGAAGTAGAGCTCCAGCAGGATATGTCAGCAACAGAGCTGGACCGGGCCTTGCATGCAAGCGCTGCTGCCCCGGAACGTCCACTAAGTCATTATGTGTTTTGACGTTTTCAAGTGAACACTGCAAGCATTCACAATTGGAAGCACTTCAGGTGTTGAAGCGAGAAGCAGCAAAAGAGGCCGAGTACCGAGAAGCGCGTGCAAAGCATGAGGAGGAGGCCCTCAGACCCAGATGCCCAGGAGTTCTGTTCATGTCTCATCGATATCGGTGAGATCTGGTCAGGTACGGCTAGGCTTTGGTGCAACAGAAATGACTAAACAAGAGCTGAAGAAGATCATTGACAGCGCCGGGCTCTTGTGCATGTCGTGACGCCTTCCCAATACAGATGTTAGCAGTCTGAAATAAATATCTGGTCCGGCAGGGCCCGAGAGGGGATGGAGGGGGACCGGGCTGGGGTTTCAGGTTAAGGCGCTTGGCAGGGTTCAAGCCCTTACTTAGCCCAAACCTTACGTAAAACCTTCAAACTTAAACCGAAGAACACTCTAAGACCCTTAAAGAATCAAATGCCAGAGCCTTAAACCAGAAGCCCTAAACCTGAACCCTCCTTAACCCATAAAACCTAAAACCACCCCACAGCCACACGACGCCGGGGGGGTGGGGGTGGCAAAACCATCATGACCCAAAACCCTAGAGCCTAAACCCTAAGACTGAAAAAACTTCAACTTCAAAGCCTTAAGCTTTAAGAAGACATAGCATAATATAATATAATATAATATAATATAATATAATATAATATAATTATGTATAATATATATATATATATACATATACATATATATATATATATGTATATATATATATATACATATACACATATATATATATATATATATGTATATATATACACACATATATATATATGTGTGTGTGTGGTATGTATATATACATATATATAGAATACAATACATATATATATATATATATAGATTCTATATATATATATATGTATATTTTTATATACACATCATCTCTCTCTCCCTATATATACATATATATATATATATAACATATATAATCATATATATATATATATATATATATATATATATATGTATATATATATACTATTATATATATGTATATATATATATATATATATATATAAACCCCCCCCCCCCCGCCCCCATGAACCGCCACCCTCCCTCCCCCCGCCCCCCGCCGCCCCCCCCCCCCCCCCCGTGTTTAAGCCACGCAAGCTTGCTTCAAAGCATATGAGTTTCTGGAACCCATCATGCGAGTACCGTGTTTGAAAATGAGTGCAAGCTTGTGTCAAAGCGTATGACCCACAGCATATGAGTTTTGTTTGACCCACAGCATATGAGTCTTTTTGTATCTCATCATGCGAGCACATTTTTTGCAAATGGGGGGGGGGGGTGCCCCCCCCCCCCCGACCACCCGATTCTCCCCCCTCCGCCCTCCGTTTTGAAGCCATGCAAGCTTGCTTCAAAGCATATGAGTTTTTGAAACCCATCATGCGAGCAATGTTTGCAAATGCGGGGGCTGCCCCCCCCCCCCCCCCCCCCCCCCGCGTTTTAAAGCCCGTGCAAGCTTGTTTCAAAGCAGATGACCCCCAACATATGAGTGTTTTTGAAACCCATCATGCGAGCACTGTGTTTGCAAATGGGGGGGGTTGGCGCTGCGCCCCCCCCCCCCCCCCCAAACCCAAACCCCCCCGCTTTAGAACGCCCGCGCAAGATTGTTTCAAAGCAGATGACCCCAACATATGAGTCTCTTTGAAAACCATCATGTGAGCACCGTTTTTGCAAAAGGGGGGCCCCCAACCCCCCCCCCCCGCTTTTTAAAGCCTGTGCAAGCTTGTTTCAAAGCAGATGGCCCCCAGCATTTGAGTCTTTTTGAAAGCCATCATGCAAGCACTGTGTTTGCAGGAGACGTTTTGGGCGTCGCTCCGTTTTTTGGCTTTATGGGTTTTCCGTTGTTTGTTTTGATATTTGATTGGAAAAAACAAGAAAACCTCGAGTTTTTGTTGGTTTTTAAACCACCAGATGGTGAAAACCAACTCAAACTCCAGGTTTTTTTGGTTTTTCAGCTGAAATTCCAAAAAAACACGAGGGAAAACCAACAAAACCAAAAAAACGCACCGACACCAAAAACATATCCTTTTTCTTTTTGTTTAAAGTACATAGGAAACCTTCTATTTTCTTTCTGGTGCTATGTAGAACCTCTATTTTCGTTCTAGCAAATCTGTCCATATGAAGCTTGTGCTTTTGGCTGGAAAACCTCCATATCCTCTATATTCCATAGTAAAATATTTGTTTTCTCTCTATTCCAATATTTTTTAAGAGGAAATTTTGTTGTTTTTGATCCGTTGGTTTTTTTGATCATTAGTTTTTTTGATCCGTCGCCTATGCACCCTGTACGTGCGTGTATATATATATATATTTATTTATATTTATACATACCCACACTGCAGGGGGAGGGGGCGGTGGGGGTAGGGATACAAGGGAGGGTGGGGGGGGGGATACCATGGGGTGGGGGGGGGTGGGCGTGGCAGCCCTGGACCATACAAATACACATATATATACTTATTTCGGCTTGGCCTTGTTTGTCAGATCTTGAAGCGACAACACTTGGCACTTGCTCATCCGATCAATGCTAAGGACCGGCGCATGTATTATCGGTCTGAGGAGTTGAACGACAAGCTTTTCATCCACTACAAGGTGTTCTGGTGAACTTGTCTCCCGTAGGCCCAAGAAGCACTGAGACTGCCTGCAGGGCTGGAAAGAACTCAAGAATCTCGAGGGCTGGACCGCTTAACCTCGCTTATGCCAAGTTCAAAGAACTGTTCAGAGAACTTCTGTGGATGCCTGCGGTATCCTGCGGTGCAGGACTGGCCTTCGAGCCTTGTACGCTGAGTGCAATGCGTTCGACCGCATCAGTGGGCTGTCACAATGTCGAAACCTCCGCAGCCTGTTTTTGCAGGACACCGCGAGCTGCTACTAAGTTCCTGTGAATTAATTAGTGCGTTCTGCATTCATTATATTTTATCGATGCCGCTACCCGCCTTGGCGGGGATGCGGATCAAAAGAATATTTAGGATCAACAAGAATATATTTAGGACCAACAAAATTTTTTTATTTAGGATCAAAAATCATCTATTTAGGATCAAGAAATATATAATTGATTCTGTTCTTCCGACGGAGAGAGGAGGGAGGGAGAGAAGGAGGGAGGGAGGGAAGGAGGGAAGGAAGGAAGGGCGGAAGGACGGCAGGAAGGAAGCAAGGAAGGACGGAAGGAAGCAAGCAAGGAAGCATGCAAGGAAGCAAGGAAGCAAAGAAGGAAGGAAGGAAGGAAGGAAGGAAGGAAGGAAGGAAGGAAGGAAGAAATCAAAAAAGAATGAAAGAAAAAAAGGAGTGACACAGGAAAGAAAGCAAGGAAGAAGTCGTGCCAGCTTGCTTCAAAACCCATTATGCGAGCATTGTGTTTGCAAATGGGGGGGGCCCCAACAACCCCCCCAATGTTTAAGTCGCGCCAGCTTGCTTCAAAGCATACGCGTCTTTTGGACGCCTCTGATGCGAGCATTGTGTTCGCAAATGGGGGGGGGGGGCTGCACCTCCCCCAACCCCCCGGCTATATTTTAAGTTGTGCCAGGTGCTTCAGCATGCTTTCGAAACCCATGATGCGAGCTTGTGTTTGCGCATTGAAGGGGGGGGGGCGCCCACCCCAAACCCCCGCTCTTTTTTAAATCGGGTGCTGGCTCACAGTATACGTGTTTTTTCGAAACTTCTAATGCCAAGATGCCAGCATTGATTTGCAGCCTCTGGAAACTCGCGCAGAACTGCTGTTTTATGCAGTATCCGCAGCCTTTCAGGAAACTCAGAAATGCTGCTATTTTCAGTAGTTCCCGCACAAATGCTGTGTTTTTTCGGTATTTAGAGCTGGCAAACGGCCAGAAATGCTTCATTTCTGAGCGTTTACAGCCTCCGCTCCGCTCGCAACAGGCCTTGGAAGCCTTCAGTAAAGTGTTTTTTGATCCCAAATAAGTTTGTTTTTTGATCCGCGTAGAAATAAATTATGTTTTGCTCCCAAATAAGTTTTTTTGATCCCCTACCCGCCTTGGCGGGGGGGTGCCCTACGGTATGGCAAACTGGAGAGTGCGAATGTTAGGCTTCAGCCCCCAACGTCACCAATCCCCCCCCCCCCAACCACGACCACCCCCCTGCGACAACCACGCGGCACCCTCCCCCCGCCCCTTCCAAAGGCACCCCGGTCCTGGTGCAACCCGCTCCCGGACACCTGCCGCCTGAGAATTCCCGTTCCAAGCACAAAAGCATCAAACAAAGTGACGGGCTTTTGCTACCGCCCGAGGCCTCGGTGGAAATATTCTCGTACATATCATGCTGATCTCGTAGCAGTGGCTTACATCAGCAAATCATTACTGGTGAAGTAGGCGTGTGTAGGGTCACAGATCACTCACAGGAGAATTGTATTCACAAGTCGCAACCTGAGTACTTCGAGCACATGGACTTCAAGTCTGCGTTGATGATCATGGCAGCTGTGCAGTGCAGTACAGTTAGCAAGGATCGAAGGGCTTGAAGCTTGTCCTTTGCTCTGGAATCTGAACTTGAGCAGCAATTTCATCGAACGTGCGGGTCTAAGCGCAACATCTCAGCCTCCGATGCATTGGTAGATCCTGATTAGTGCAGAGTGTCTGATGCAAGGCATCGAGGGGCTCTCACATCTGAGATCCTTAAACACCCTCACGATCCAGAAGAACAAAATCGGCTTTGCAGGACTTGCGGGATTTGTATGATGCCTTTCTTATTGGTTTCAGGCTTTTGCGGAATGAAGATCAGGTGTGGAAGATGTGGTGCACCTAGTGGACACTACCATCTCCACTCTGGATTTGCAAGACAACAAGATCTGGGACCCAGACGTGCTGCCTGAGGCAGCAGTCGAACATGTAGTGAAGCCGATCTGGAGCTGCCGTTAATCGGCTTCAACATGCAGGTTTTCGCGCGCATGGCGGACCTACGCGTCCTCTACCTCAAGGGCAATCCTTGCGCCAAGAAGATTCCTAACTATCGCAAAGGGATCACTGCCGTGTGCGAGAACTTGAAGTGACCCCTCGAGTTTCTGCTTGAGCTATTCCGAGTTGTTCCAACAAGGAGAGTACTTTATTCGCGGGTGCCCTCGAGGTACCTGGATGACCGACCAGTTTTTCCTGAGGCGCGACTGCTACTGCCACCACCCAGTGGCCACTGCTTTCCATATAATTTGGGATCGTACTGCTTACTTAGCCCTGGAGGACCGGCGAGCTGCCGATGCGTTCAATCGCGGAGGTTGGATTCGGTGCACGCAACTCTGCAAGCTCGTAGGCTCCCTGTCGACCCACCTTTGGTTTTTCAAAAGCTGCACATTATTCTGTGACGCTTCCTAGAACCATCAAGGTAATGCCCCCGTGAATGAATAAGCTAAATTTCTGCTACGGGCAAAAAGACCCCCTTAACGACCGTATATTTCTTGGGTTTTTCTTCTTCGATAGTATATTGTATTGTTTTCATTTTTCTTTGCTATTACACCAGAAAGCCTTATTTATTGTATCATATTTAGCTTGCAGTTATGTGATTCAAAGATTAAGCCTTTTCTTGGTATGTTCACTTGTTTTAAAAAATACTAATGCTCACGCATTAAGGACTCTTGTGAATAAACTTCCCTTAACATTCGCTTCTTTTTTGAGACCTTGAGTTCTTCTCCCCCATTGATTCTGCTGTTGCGGGACAGGGAAAGTCCTGTGCATTTTTAAGTAGCCTTTGCCAACGCTATCTCGCAGTTCTTTATTGATGAGTTAGACGGTGATTCTTTCATCCAAGAGTTCACAGACAAGCCACGTGTCAAGACATCGGTTCGGACAGGCCTCGAGGAGGAAAGGGCGGAGCGGCGCAGAATCAAGGAGGCATGCAGAAAGCCTTTTGGTAGTTTTTGAGCGTGCGTGGGTACCTGATTGGACTCAGCCCTCAGGAAGAAAATGCCAAGCATGAGCGCAACATGAAGGCATTCCAGGCATAGACCGTCTGCAACGTGAGATATGGTTTCACCTCCATCCCATGATTTCAGAGGAGATGATTGAAGCTGTTCGTAGAGAGAAGCGGGAAAGAGATGCCATGAGGGCGGAGGAGCGTCTCATGATCTTGAGAGTCTTGTATAGATTGGTCCTGTTAATTAATATTGTTTGCATGCATGCTCCTGACACACATGTCACACACAGCTTTGGGCTTCGGGTCGGTTAAGGCTTATTTAGGGAGATTTCGTTTGGAAGAGTCGGATGCAGTGCAGAGGCCCCCATGCAGGGGCCTCCAGTGGAGGCCCCTGCGGCATGTCCGCTGAATCCAATAAAAGTATCAAAAAGAGAGGTCGCGACTCGGCCGAGTGTGATTTTCGATTCGTTGCTCCATTGATTGGTCTGTGTGCGCGAAGCCGCCGCCTGAACATGGCGGTAGCTAGCCGTTGAAGCTGACAGTTCAGTGGAAGCATGGTTGTGACTGACACTGAACCGGGGACGCCTGGTTCACGCACCCGCGAATCTTGACGTTTCAAGCATGTCAGAAACAGTGTTCGAAAGTCGGAAAACCACCTCAAAGTCCCAAACACAATCCTGAACGCTTGCACGCGCCACCTCGGCAGCCGGGCCACTTCCCAGGCCCCAGGAAATTCCATGTCAAAGCAGGTCTAAATCAAATCCCGGAAAACTCAGTGGGGTCCCTAAAAGTTTAAGTAAGGTCTTTGAGGGGTTGGTATGCTGATTCAGGGTTCTAGGGGGTGGGGGTGGTGGGGGGGAGGGGGGGTGGCGCAGGTGGGAGGGGATGAGACCTGGTTTATGCTACCCCCTTTTGTTTCGTCTCTCTTCTCTTGTCAGTTTTTGCCTTGTGCACGTCTTTGCCAAAGTTTGTGTGAATGTGTGTGGTGCAAGGACAAGTTCACTGACGGCACTGACCCAGTGGTGACGACTGAGCAGCGCATGCAGCAGCAGGCCTTTCCAGACATGCCCAGATGCATCAGACAGCACATGGCAAACACGATAGACGGTTTCTGCGCTTACGCATTTCATGTAAATATCGATTCATATAGATTCGGTCGTTGCATATCAACATGAGCACAGCTTGATCACGACATGTGTGTGGATCTTGTGTACTGGCCAGACGTTGGTGCAAGCTGCAAAAGCGTGTTGCTGCAGGTTGACAAGTGGAGGGAGGAGATCACAGCGCAATGCTCCGCACATCGATGTCGAGAAGTTCCATGCTGACATAGTGACATAGTGGTTCACGTGAGGACAACGCTGAAGATCTCAAGGATGATGCACGTGAGCATGCTGAACGCTGTTTGCAAAGCGAAAGGGAGACAAGGACAGAGTGCGGTGGATCTTGTGGACTCGGTTGACTCCGAGACAAAGTGGTCAGGAGTGCCGACAGCGATGCAGAATCCAACGAATGTGGAGGCACACCTGGCCACTTCGCATTGAGCTTTGCTACGTGAAGTTTCGTGAACGCGGGGTGCACTCATGTGCACTCATGTGCACTCTTGTGCACTCTGGGGCACGCTGTGAGGCGAACACCGGGAGCCCCAGACAGAGCCTGAGGCATCGGGGAGCACGCGTGGCGAGGACCACAGAAAGCTGGTCTACGAGGCGCGGGGGCCGGCCCGTGCTGCCAGGCCCTAAACTAATCGAGGTGCTAACGTTTAAGCACATTCAGAACATTAAGAACATCAAGCGTGCAAAGATCTCAGAGGTTTCAGAGATCTCCGAGATCTCCGAGATCTCACAGATCTCAGAGTCAGAAAACAAGCAATCATTTCGTCCAGACCTTGCTTCCAAGAGATTCGCGGATACTCAAGGTCCCTTCAGATTTGGGCTTAGGGTTCGGGAATGTCAAGGATTAAGGACATTTCGGCTCGGATTCTTGGGGATTGATGGTTTGAGGCTTGGGAAATGCCCGGAGGCCTTGTCTTCCTGTTGGGAGGCCTTCGTACATTCGGCCGGCCGAATTACCGTGTTTTTTTTGGTACTCTTTGTGTACTCTGAATGTGGCAGATTTCGGGAGCAGCACTTTCAAGAAGCGGTTGGGAGCTGGAGCTAGGCGCGTCGATTTGATTGCCTTCGCCTTTGCTCGGCCGACATATGAAATATCAAGTTTCCAAGTCAAAAGTCCGACCCAAAAAACGAAACCTGAAACCTTGGCATCTACAACCTCATACCTACCTACAGGTTATGCGGCGGGTTGGGGGGGTGGGTGGCATTGCTGAGAGGGGGGGAGAGAGAGTGAGAGAGCGGGAGAGACCGAGAGAGAGAGAGAGAGTGTGACCGGTTGTACGAGTCGAGGTGTTCGGGGAAAGAGACCCATAACGGCCTGCTTGCCGGCTCTTCGGAGCTAAGTCTCACAACGAAACCGGACTGCGTGGCTGGGCGCGCCCAGTGCGCGGGGAGGGGGAGACCCTTCCTCAGGCCCCGTAGAATTGCGGGCACGCGGTTCAGGGTTTAGGGTCTATAGGGTACCGATTTAGGTCTTAGGGACCAAAGCAACCGAAGCCTGCTCTCGCTCTCTCTCTCTTCCTCCCTCTTCCCCTTCCTCTTCCTCTGCCTGTTGGTCCTTTCTTGGTTGTTGTTTTCCTCGCTCTCTCTCTCTCTCGGTCTCTTCTTCTTGCCGTGCCCGCGCACCTGCATGGTGAGCATCAGCAGGGTGGGCACGTGAACCGTAAAAAGCATCCACTCGTGTTTGCCTTTAAAAAGCTGCGAAAACACGCATTTTCCGCTCGTGGACCTCCAAAGCACCCAGAAGCACGCGTGCTTTGTGAGCTCGAACGGCTTCATGTCCGCGAAACGGACAGGGGGGGCCGGTGTATGGGGGCTTTGAAACTCCTCGAAACGGTACGAGAATCCACTTCCCGGTCAACAGATGGAGATGGGAGGGGGTAGCACAGCGGATCACAGCGGCGGGGGGGCTGGCAGGGGGGGCGGGGGTGCGGTGCATTTGGGGATGCTGGCGAGTGGGCCTGTACCCTGCGCACCCGGTGAGTGAGCCTGCAAGAGCCAGAGGTGACCGGTTCTTCACTGACGCCTCCCCCCGACCAAATAGGGGGGGCGGCGGATTACTTTTATCAAAAGACAGTCCTTTTCAAAGGTCCCCCAACCCCTCCCCCCCAAACTGCCACGACTCATGCCAAACAACCGCTTGAGCACACTCCTTTCCGCCTCGCTCTTAGCCGTCTTAGCCTGCAGGATATCTGGGAGGCTCCAGAGCCCGGCGTCTCCAAAGGACCACAGCGACTGCCGCAGTTGCACATACTAAGTAAGACACACTTCCCCCCTTGACGTTCTCTGCGTGCCACTTTACGACATGCAGACAGGAGTGACACCCGCGATGCCAGCCTTCCAGCCTCCACCCAGGCTCATATCCAGAAGAAAGGTTGACCATCTTACAGCCTGTTCGATTTCGCCGAGAGTGTTTGTGGTGCTTCAGTATTTACCGCGTTGCTAGGCATTCTGCGCCAACACCCGCGCATGCCGAGAAGGCAAGTGTGAGGAGGCAGATGTGTCACATGCGTCCTTCCTGCTCAAATGAGGTAGCAGCTTCCGCCTGCACAGAGCTTCATGACTTGGATTAGCTGCGAAGTGTTTTTCAGAATTCAAGCAGCTCCTGCATGTGATAGCGCAGCTCGATTTTGCAGTGCACAGGTACATTTGCCTTAGCAGTGCAACCTTCCTGCCACAGCAGCTGCTCTCAATTTCTCAGAGTAGGCCTAAGTGCAGACTTCGACTTGTTTCACAGCGGAGAAAGCCGCGACCCAGTGCGTGATTCTGTAGATCAAAGTGTTCCCCCGGTTCGCTGGTGACGCAAAGCATGTTCCTAGCACGCATGCTCAGATGTTTTGGTGGAAAGGGTTTCTGTTTTGTCCTCGGGGCTCGAAAAGGTCTGCAGACTCCACAAACGTAGTCAGTGCAGTCATCACAATGGCGCATGGGGTCCACCATTGGTCCATCGATATCCTGAGCTGCTCTCAGGTCATTGGTCGTATAATGTCGTGTAATGTCGTGTATGCCCCGGGTCCAAAACCATAGAGGTAGGCCAGAGCACGGAAGGAATGCCTGTTCCTGCTGCGGGGCCATGTATAGGTTTCAAATGAACCAGGAAAAGAGGCTCACACAGTTCCAGCGGTTACAAGGGACGACCATGTTCATTCATCTGGTCAACTGACATAGAAACCGTGCCAGATAGGTCTTTCAACGCGGCGGGAACCTTCCGGAATCTCCTTGTGACATCTTCACGTCAAAGCATGTAAACAACCTTGCTAGATCTCATTGTATGGAGAACAGCATAGCAACACATAGCAACCAGCTTCAGGATGCCGCCGATGAACCTGTCGTTGAGACCCTTAACTTTCATACTTGGGCGCACCGGTTCATCCAACTCAAGCCTCTCAAAGTCGCCGAGTGCACATGTGCGCTACCTGAACCTCTTAATGCTTTCACCATCTTTCGCTCCCTTTCTTCTCTTCTTGAACTTGGGAGGCACTCTGCTGTTTGGACATCGTACCCCAAGCCTTGCGTGTGCAAGTCTGAGAGTCGAAGCCCGAAACCCCCAAACGCGTGCAAAGCGACGATGCGCATGTGTCTTCTCTATGACCACGCAAACAATTGAGACCTTCGATTCTCTCATTCAGATGAGCTAGGTTTTCTGAAGTGCATATCAGGAAGTATCAGGAATAAATAGGGGGGGTCACCTTTGGTCTTTCGGCTCCTGCCTGCCGAGGCCCGCATTCAACGCGCTCTCGAGCGAGCAAGTTAAGAGGAACGACATGGAGTGGCAAATCGTTGAGTCGTTGAGATGCGAGGAACAGCATCCAAGGAACTGCTACAAGGGGATGAAAGTAAGGAGATCAAGGCTTTGTTTGGGCACGGCGCAACTGACTTTGAAGGTCTTGTGCAGTAGAGCTGGTGATTGCCTTGGCCCCATGGATAGCGGCAGGCCGTGTGCGTGATGTTCGAGATCAAGCCAGCAATTCAGAGTGGCAACTTCGACGTAAGCGCTCTGCAAAGTTGTCTGCACAAAAGCATGCCTTCGCCAGAACTCCAGCTGAATTCTCAGCTAGCCAAGGGGGAGTTCAGCGAAAGACGACGTCAGGACGAACTATTTGCGGGTCTGGGATGTAGGTGTGACTGTCTATTCTGCGAATCTTCATGGCACACCAACATCCGTTCCCTTAAGCTTTCATTCTTTCAGATCTTGGTCGAGGGTTTAGGATCCCTAGAGGTCTCCCGTCTCTTCTGATTTCCGTATAAACTACTAACATCTACTCACCATCATTGCCAGCAAGTTTCTTTTGTTTTGGGTCAAGCTTCAGAGGGCTGCAAGCACCTGTGGCGTTTGCGAGATCATCGAGATTCCTGATGCTCCGTCCTGGATTCATGTCACTGGTTGCGAGCAGGAGTGCGTGTGCGTGCATGCATGCGTGCGTGCGTGCGTGCGTGCGTGCGTGCATGCGTGCGTGGGTGTGTGTGTGTGTGTGTGTGTGTGTGTGTGTGTGTGTGTGTGTGTGTGTGTGTGTGTGTGTGTGAGTGAGTGAGTGTGTGTGTGTGTGTGTGTGCGTATGTGTTTGTGTGTGTGTGTGTGCTCGGTTAATTGGTTGGAATAGCTTGGTCGATAGCCGGAAGTTGGTGACTAGGGATGCGATTCGTTAACCGCCGATCATCCCATTTATCTGGCACGAAAGGCAGCTCAGCTGGCCCTGTGTGCGTAACCACTCGTACAACTGGATTGTGGGAGATTGGTGGGGCCGGGCCTCGCGGTTGACCGTGTTGGAGTGCCTTCCAGCGACCTGGGGACGGTTAGTGTGAACCTCTTTCTTGGCAGCGCCCTTTGGGGAAGGAGCCCATGGCAAGCCTTTTTGGTGAGCCCTCTGGGATGACTTCCATGGCCCGTCCAGATCGAGAGCGCCCGAACGGGCCGGACACACGACCCAGAACCAGCGAGGATGTGCGAGACTTCATGGTGAGTGAGCTTGGTCCGCCCTTCGACGTATCCTGGTCCTATGCGGTACTGCAATGCTGCGGTCACCATGGGCCCGGTGGTTTTCTGGTTTGGTGTGGCCTAGTGTGGTGTGGTGGGTGTTTGTGTGGAGGGCATTTGCATGGTGGGCGTGTGTGGTGTGATGTGTGTGTTGTGGTGTGTTGCGGCATACAGCGTTGCGCGGTGTGGTGTATGCATGGTGCATGTGCGTTGTATGCGTGGCGTGGTGCAGTGGTGCATGCCCGATGTACGTGTGGTGCGCATGGCGTGCGCAGAATGCAGTGTATGTGTGGTGTGTTTGTGCAAAGCGTGGTGCAGTGTGATACATGTGCGTGGTGCATGGAATGATGTTGAGTGCAGGCTTCGCTGTATGCGTGGGGTGGTTCTCTGTGCTCTCGGACGCGCGCGCGCGCGTGACTTCCATGCATATACCTGTCCATACATGAAACCCCTCTAGCAATGATGCAAACCCATTTAGACGCACGAAATCACAAATACACCAGCAAAGTATGTAAAAACACCTTCCGTTCTCGAACGTGCAGGCGTGAGTACCACATATCTGTCCATGCATGAAACCCACTTGCAACGACGCAACACCATTTAGTCGAATAAAACCACAAATATACTAGCAAAGTATTTTGCGATCCACTTCTTTTCCGGAACGTGCACGCATGACAACCATATGTCCGTCAATACATTAAATACAACCCACTGGCAACGATGCAGAACCATTGAGACCCATAAAACCACAAATGTAACAGCAAAGTATTCTGCGACCCTCTTTTTTTTTCGAACGTGCACGCATGAGTACCATATATCTGTCCATACATGTAACCCATTCAGCAATGATGTAAAGTTACCTAGACGCATAAAACCACAAATTTAACAGCAATGTATTTTGGCGATCCTCTTCCGTTCTCGAACATGCACGTGTGACTGCCATATAAATATCTGTCCATACATGTAACCCATCCAGCAACGATGCAAAGCCATTTTAGATAAAACCACAAATATAACAACAAAGTATTTACGATCCTCTTCGTTTCTCGAACGTGCACACAACCTTTGTAGATAAAACCACAAGTATAACAACAAAGTATTTACGATCCTCTTCGTTTCTCGAACGTGCACACAACCTTTGTAGATAAAACCACAAATATAACAACAAAGTATTTACGATCCTCTTCGTTTCTCGAACGTGCACACATGACTACCATAGCCATATATCTGTCCATACATGAAACCCATCCAGCAACGATGCAGAATCATTGAGACGCATAAAAACCACAAAAAAAAACAGCAAAGTAGTTTGGCGATCCTCTTCCTTTCCGGAACGTGCACGACTTACTTAGACGCATAAATCCACAAATTTAACAGTTAAAGTATTTTACGATCCTCTTCCTTTCCGGAACGTGCACGCATGACTACCATATATCTGCGCATACATGAAACCCATCTAGCAACGATGCAAAACCTTTGATTGTGACGCATCCGTCCACACGTGAAACCCATCTTGCAACAATGCAAAGCCATTTAGACGCATAGCCACAAATATAGCTGTCTGTCCATACATGAAGCCCATCCCGCAACGATATCAACGATGCCAAATCCGTTTAGATACATAAAACCACAAGTGCAAAAAGGAAAGTATTTGCGATCCTTTCCTTCGAACATGCACTCATGACTAGCATATTTCTACGTCGTATTGTGTTGTCCTGCAGAGTGCAGGTGGTGATGCCTGGTGGTATAATTATGACGTGTTGTTGCTCATGCGTGGCGGTGTGTGTGTGTGTGTGTGCACAGCACGGTGTATCTGTGGGAGCTGTCTTTTTGGTTTAGGTTTATGCACGGTGTGGTGCATGTGGTGTATGTGTGGTGTATGTGTGTATGTGTGGTGCGTGGCGTGTGCGTGGTGCGTTTGCAGTCTGCGTGGCGTCTGTGATTTCACAACGGTAGGGTTCCCCAACACTGATGTTGTGTTGTTGCTCATACGTGTGCGGGGTGTGTGCGTGTGCACAACGCGGTGTATCTGTGGGAGCTGGTGTTTTTGGGGGGTTTTAGGGTTTATGCGCGGTGTGGTGCATGTGGTGTATGCGTGGTGTATGTGTGTTTGTGTGGTGCATGGCATGTGCGTGGTGCGTGTGCAGTCTGCGTGGCGTCTTTGATTTCGTTGTGAAAAGTACGCGCGTGGTGGGCTGTGTGCGTGTATGGGTTTAGGGATTTGGGGATTAGGGTCATTAGATTTTTAGGCAACTGATGACTGATGATGTGTTGTTGCTCATACGTGTGCGGTGTGTGTGTGTGTGTGTGTGCACAACGCGGAGTATCTGTGGGAGCTGGTTTTTTTTTTGGATTTTTTTAGGGTTTATGCGCGGGGTGGTGCATGTGGTGTATGCGTGGTGTATGCATGGTGGTGCGTGGCATGCGCGTGGTGCGTGTGCAGTTTGCATGGCGTCTGTGATTTCGTTGTGAAAAGTGCGCGCGCGGTGGGCTGTGTGCGTGGAGGGCTTAAGGGTTTTTGGTTTGTCTGGGTGTAGGGGTCTGGGGTTTTTCGGGTTATAGCATAGGGAACTGATGATGTGTTGTTGCTCATACGCGCGGTGTGTGTGTGTGTGTGTGTGTGCGTGCGTGTGCACAATGCGGTGCATCTGTAAAAGCTGGATTCTGCTTTTTATAGGTATTTTATTGGTTTAGGGTTTTTAGGGTGTTTATTGTTTTTTTCAGGATTTTTTGGGTTTTTAGGATTTTCAGGGTTTATAGGGTTTATAGGGTTTATAGGGTTTATAGGGTTTATAGGGTTTATAGGGTTTATAGGGTTTATAGGGTTTATAGGGTTTATAGGGTTTATAGGGTTTATACGGTTTATAGGGTTGATAGGGCTGATAGGGTTGATAGGGTTTATAGGGCTTTTATGAGGGTTTGTAGGGTTTTTATGAGGGTTTAAGGGTTTTAGGGTTTATTTAGGGTTTTAGGGTTAGGGTTAATTTGGGGTTTTTAGGGTTTTTAGGGTTTAGGATTTTGGGTTTAAGGGTTTTTTAGGGTTTAGGGGTTTTTAGGGTTTTTAGGGTTTAGGGGTTAGGGGGTTTAGGGGTTTAGGGGTTTAGGGTTTAAGGGTTTTTAGGGTTTAGGGTTTAGGGTTTAGGGTGGGTTTAGGGTTTAGGGTTTAGGGTTTAGGGTTTAGGGTTTAGGGTTTAGGGTTTAGGGTTTAGGGTTTAGGGTTTAGGGTTTAGGGTTTAGGGTTTAGGGTTCGGGTTAGGGTTTTAGGGGTTAGGGTTTTAGGGTTAGGGTTAGGGTTTAGGGTTTGGGGTTAAAGGGTTTTAGGGTTTAAGGGTTTAAGGGTTTTAAGGGGGTTAAGGGTTAAGGGTTTAGGGTTTTTTAGGGTTTTAGGGTTTTAGGGTTTTAGGGTTTAGGGTTTAGGGTTTTAGGGTTTTTTTAGGGTTTTAGGGTTTTAGGGTTTTAGGGTTTAGGGTTTTAGGGTTTTAGGGTTTAGGGTTTTTTAGGGTTTAGGGTTTAGGGTTTAGGGTTTAGGGTTTAGGGTGTAGCAGCTCCAGGATCAAGACCAAACAAATGTTTTTCCAAGGCAAAGCAAAGGTTTAGGACCGTGGGACTTGGGACCCACGTGTGGACTTAGACCCTCATCCTATCCTAATCTTGTGCCGAAATATCGCATTCAGCGATTTCTGTACGTGCACAAGTTAGACAAAAGTATGCGTTACTTTGCAGCTCAGTGCAAAGCGTTTTCACATTTGACATGAGTCACCATTGTGACTGAAACTTACAGGCAACGCGGCGTGCGATGAACTTACAATACCACCACGAACCCCATCCATCCACCCTAACATCGTTCATTCATGTGGTGTTCCATTGGGAAATCCTGTTCAGCGTGGGGCGTAACTTGTTCTTCCAGCTGATTGTGAGTGAACCCAATGGATCTTCTTCATTGTCGAAAGCCCTTTGGAGCAATGCGTTGAGCCCTGGATCTGACCGTAGCTCAGCCAGTAGCCGGTTCAATCTTGCAGTGCTCCAGGCTGGGTGGTAAGAGAGAGGAATCCAATGCTTGCGGATCTTCTCTCGATTTGTCTTGGTGTTCTTAGTGATATCACTGCCACGTTCAAGGAACTGCGCATCTCGAGTGTTCCATCGGAGCTGTCGGAATTCTGCAGCTCTCCGCGTCATTGTTTCAAGAATCGCTGGAGGCGTCAGGAACTGAGCAAATCTCTGGATGTATGTATCGTGTGCTCGTCTTGCATCTTCTGTACTTGAAGAAATGAAGGTGAGTGCCCGCAACCGCGCAAGCGGCCAGGCATGTACCCCTTTGGAATGAGCTGAGCTCGCCTCCAGTGGTCTCATCAATGAGGTGGCCTTGAAATGAGGCATGACGTGAATGGAATTGTTTTTTACGTATACTGATGTGTCAAGCATTTGCACCAAGTCTGCAGAAACATCTTCGAGCTTCAACTTAAAGTGACGTCCTCTCCTTTGCAGAAGTTGGAAAAACTCCATTCCACTATCGCGGTGTTCCGCTACGAAGAAGATGTCGTCTTTGAATCGGTAGTAATGCGAAATGCCATAACTGATATGTAGGCGGTCCTCCATATCGTCCGTGGCAAAATCGTGTTCTACCAATGTGAAGAAGCTGGCATCAGCAACTGCTCCGCTGTGCCGCAAACCCATTCCTGTGCCCCTCACCACTTTGTATGTGTGCTCAGGGATAATATCACTGACAACATACTGATGGTTCAACAAGAAGGCGAGTGCTCTGCGGAATACCTCACGTTTGCCATATGGAATCAAAGGCGTTGTGGTGCTGACCAAGTCTTCCACCGTACCACTCATGAAAAAGTCTTCAATATCGACCCGCATGAGGAGTGCGCCGTCTGGGATTCCAGAGCCAGCTACGCTACGCACAAACTCCGCTGAATTCCGCAGGATATGCTTGTGTGGCTTCAGTTGAAGTTTTAGCTCGTGCTCAGCCCAAGCAGACAAGCCTTCAAAGCAGTAGGACCTACTTTTGTGTAGATTTCTGCATTTGACCAAGCCTGCAGGCTTGTGGGACTTCACTGTGATGCCCAAAGTGCACGTGATTTTGGACTCAGGCTGTTTTGTTGATCTCAGCAGTTGGCGTTCCAAATGACCTGCTTCGGCACATGCTTTGTCAACCGCTCTGCAATGGAAACCATATTGACGTTCTAACACGGGCCAATCGACTTCTCTACATAAAGAGTAAGCGTCGCTTGACAGGATCTTCTGGTGCACCACTCTAAGATTATGGCGCTCAAAGATCGCATAGCCCCCGTCCTTGTCTGTTGGAATAACAGCCAGCTGCGAATGCTTTAGTCTTTGTAAACCCAGCTTTGTCACAGATAGCATGTTACTGTGGCGGTTGCTCTTCCTGGAAATGTCATGCCGCAAAGAAAGAATAATTCTCCTGTGCATCTCGTTCATCCATGCACATAATTCATCGGGGAGCTTCACTGTGCAGGGTGCAGTCTTTTGCCGCCGGACCGGTCTGAAACTATACCTCTTGAAAGGTTTGTTTCGGAAAAACCATGCCCATCCCACTTTGTTCCTCCAGTGGAATAAATCTTCAGCGATCCAGGATAAATCCGGGTGGCTATTGCACCAAAGGTACTTCTTGTGATACCGGGTCAATATCCAAATGATCGGCCATTCCACTTGTTGCTCCGTCGGGGGTTGTACGCTTGCATCATCAACAGCATACCAATAAACTAATTTGCGAAGCATATCGAATTTAAAGAGCCATATCCAGTCTTGCGCTGTGGCCCCAACCATAGCATTAAGAAAAGCCTGACTGACTGGTGACAACCTTGCGGTCACCAGCTGGCAATTCTTGCGTTTCTTGCGCCTCCATACCCGTAGGCGCTCCATCCGTGCTGTTTTCCTGCTTGACGTTGTACTGTGCGGTATGTCTGTGGCTGCCAAGCTTGGTACCTTTGGGCCTTGTTGCTGCCACGCCACCATGTGTGCTGAGGATTGCGAAGAGCATTGTTTGGGTTGCCACGGCGTTGCTCTTGGTTCCCCGCGCCTCCGCGCGGGGCTGCCCCGTTTTTTGGCTTTTGCAGCGCCTGCACAAACTCATCCGCTTTCTTCGCCTGTGGGTCCTCGGCGGCCTCAGTCTCCATAGGCTTTGTGTCCCCCATGTTCTGCTGCACGAGCTCGCCGACTAGATCTTTTAGTAGGACCGCAGGTTCCTTTTTGCACATTTCATCCTTGGTCTTCCTTTCCTTCTCAGCACGCTTCTCATTTTCTTTGGCCTCCTCAGTTTTCTTCTTCCGCAGTCGAGTGATCAAGTCGTGGTATACAGTCTCTGCATGCTGCATGGATGCCTCCATTGGTACCTGTGGGATAGCAGAATCTTCCAAACCACACTTTTTGGTATCCATCACCTCAACAGCAACTGTCTTACATTTCTCAAGGAACGCTTGTCTTGTAGTAACCATCTTCTTAGCTTCCATCTGTGCCTCAAGAGCTGTCGCCATGCACTGTTTATGAAATTTCGTGAAAGCATGGTGAATTTTGGCAAGTGCCTGTCTTCGAGTCGTTCCAGCCTCCAACTTGACGGAGAAATCCATGGGTTGGTTAGCACATTCAGGAACAACAACGTCTAACTCTGCCAACTCTTGTGGCGACCTGAAGGGTCGAGTGCCTGCAGGGTATCGTAGTCCTTCTTGCTTCATGAATTCCACATCCTTCTTGGCCTGGGCAACTCTGTCTTGCATGGACAGGTACTTCCGCACATCTGCTTCAAAGGTTTTCCCCAATTTTCCGATGGCTTTCTTGACTTCAGCGGGCACCTCAACATCTGCAAGTGCAGGTTGCCTTGGTTCACTGCGAGGACCTGCTCCCTGTTGGCGTTCTGATGGTTGGGTAGCGCGAGTGTTTTCACTTTGACTCATTCTCTCCATCATCTGTTGTAGAATTTTCTGCTGCTCGGAAATGACAGTCATCATCTGCGTGAGCATGTCCTCCGTCCTTGCCCTTTTACGTTCATGTTCATCTGCCTCCCTACCGTCACCGAAATCATATGGACTCCGGCGTTCCCCGGCAGCTGCAGATTGCTCGAACATATTGAACATTTGTTGGCCGCTCCGGAATGAAATATCCACGAAAGATCAGGGTGTAGTGAGCACTCCAGGATCAAGACCAAACAAATGTTTTTTGAGCACTCCAGGATCAAGACCAAACAAATGTTTTTCCAAGGCAAAGCAAAGGTTTAGGACCGTGGGACTTGGGACCCACGTGTGGACTTAGACCCTCATCCTATCCTAATCTTGTGCCGAAATATCGCATTCAGCGATTTCTGTACGTGCACAAGTTAGACAAAAGTATGCGTTACTTTGCAGCTCAGTGCAAAGCGTTTTCACATTTGACATGAGTCACCATTGTGACTGAAACTTACAGGCAACGCGGCGTGCGATGAACTTACAGGCAACGCGGCGTGCGATGAACTTACAGGCAACGCGGCGTGCGATGAACTTACAGGCAACGCGGCGTGCGATGAACTTACAGGCAACGCGGCGTGCGATGAACTTACAGGCAACGCGGCGTGCGATGAACTTACAGGCAACGCGGCGTGCGATGAACTTACAGGCAACGCGGCGTGCGATGAACTTACAGGCAACGCGGCGTGCGATGAACTTACAGGCAACGCGGCGTGCGATGAACTTACAGGCAACGCGGCGTGCGATGAACTTACAGGCAACGCGGCGTGCGATGAACTTACAGGCAACGCGGCGTGCGATGAACTTACAGGCAACGCGGCGTGCGATGAACTTACAGGCAACGCGGCGTGCGATGAACTTACAGGCAACGCGGCGTGCGATGAACTTACAGGCAACGCGGCGTGCGATGAACTTACAGGCAACGCGGCGTGCGATGAACTTACAGGCAACGCGGCGTGCGATGAACTTACAGGCAACGCGGCGTGCGATGAACTTACAGGCAACGCGGCGTGCGATGAACTTACAGGCAACGCGGCGTGCGATGAACTTACAGGCAACGCGGCGTGCGATGAACTTACAGGCAACGCGGCGTGCGATGAACTTACAGGCACGCGGCGTGCGATGAACTTACAGGCAACGCGGCGTGCGATGAACTTACAGGCAACGCGGCGTGCGATGAACTTACAGGCAACGCGGCGTGCGATGAACTTACAGGCAACGCGGCGTGCGATGAACTTACAGGCAACGCGGCGTGCGATGAACTTACAGGCAACGCGGCGTGCGATGAACTTACAGGCAACGCGGCGTGCGATGAACTTACAGGCAACGCGGCGTGCGATGAACTTACAGGCAACGCGGCGTGCGATGAACTTACAGGCAACGCGGCGTGCGATGAACTTACAGGCAACGCGGCGTGCGATGAACTTACAGGCAACGCGGCGTGCGATGAACTTACAGGCAACGCGGCGTGCGATGAACTTACAGGCAACGCGGCGTGCGATGAACATACAGGCAACGCGGCGTGCGATGAACATACAGGCAACGCGGCGTGCGATGAACATACAGGCAACGCGGCGTGCGATGAACTTACAGGCAACGCGGCGTGCGATGAACTTACAGGCAACGCGGCGTGCGATGAACTTACAGGCAACGCGGCGTGCGATGAACTTACAGGCAACGCGGCGTGCGATGAACTTACAGGCAACGCGGCGTGCGAAGAACTTACAGGCAACGCGGCGTGCGCGTGCGAACTTAGCGGCGTGCGATGAACTGCAAGCGGCGCAACGCGGCGTGCGATGAACTTACAGGCAACGCGGCGTGCGATGAACTTACAGGCAACGCGGCGGCGTGCGATGAACTTACAGGCAACGCGGCGTGCGATGAACTTACAGGCAACGCGGCGTGCGATGAACTTACAGGCAACGCGGCGTGCGATGAACTTACAGGCAACGCGGCGTGCGATGAACTTACAGGCAACGCGGCGTGCGATGAACTTACAGGCAACGCGGCGTGCGATGAACTTACAGGCAACGCGGCGTGCGATGAACTTACAGGCAACGCGGCGTGCGATGAACTTACAGGCAACGCGGCGTGCGATGAACTTACAGGCAACGCGGCGTGCGATGAACTTACAGGCAACGCGGCGTGCGATGAACTTACAGGCAACGCGGCGTGCGATGAACTTACAGGCAACGCGGCGTGCGATGAACTTACAGGCAACGCGGCGTGCGATGAACTTACAGGCAACGCGGCGTGCGATGAACTTACAGGCAACGCGGCGTGCGATGAACTTACAGGCAACGCGGCGTGCGATGAACTTACAGGCAACGCGGCGTGCGATGAACTTACAGGCAACGCGGCGTGCGATGAACTTACAGGCAACGCGGCGTGCGATGAACTTACAGGCAACGCGGCGTGCGATGAACTTACAGGCAACGCGGCGTGCGATGAACTTACAGGCAACGCGGCGTGCGATGAACTTACAGGCAACGCGGCGTGCGATGAACTTACAGGCAACGCGGCGTGCGATGAACTTACAGGCAACGCGGCGTGCGATGAACTTACAGGCAACGCGGCGTGCGATGAACTTACAGGCAACGCGGCGTGCGATGAACTTACAGGCAACGCGGCGTGCGATGAACTTACAGGCAACGCGGCGTGCGATGAACTTACAGGCAACGCGGCGTGCGATGAACTTACAGGCAACGCGGCGTGCGATGAACTTACAGGCAACGCGGCGTGCGATGAACTTACAGGCAACGCGGCGTGCGATGAACTTACAGGCAACGCGGCGTGCGATGAACTTACAGGCAACGCGGCGTGCGATGAACTTACAGGCAACGCGGCGTGCGATGAACTTACAGGCAACGCGGCGTGCGATGAACTTACAGGCAACGCGGCGTGCGATGAACTTACAGGCAACGCGGCGTGCGATGAACTTACAGGCAACGCGGCGTGCGATGAAATTACAGGCAACGCGGCGTGCGATGAACTTACAGGCAACGCGGCGTGCGATGAACTTACAGGCAACGCGGCGTGCGATGAACTTACAGGCAACGCGGCGTGCGATGAACTTACAGGCAACGCGGCGTGCGATGAACTTACAGGCAACGCGGCGTGCGATGAACTTACAGGCAACGCGGCGTGCGATGAACTTACAGGCAACGCGGCGTGCGATGAACTTACAGGCAACGCGGCGTGCGATGAACTTACAGCAACGCGGCGTGCAGGCAACGCGGCGTGCGATGAACTTACAGGCAACCCCCCCCCCCCCCCCCCCCCCCCCCCCACGGCGTGCGATGAACTTACAGGCAACGCGGCGTGCGATGAACTTACAGGCAACGCGGCGTGCGATGAACTTACAGGCAACGCGGCGTGCGATGACCTTACAGGCAACGCGGCGTGCGATGAACTTACAGGCAACGCGGCGTGCGATGAACTTACAGGCAACGCGGCGTGCGATGAACTTACAGGCAACGCGGCGTGCGATGAACTTACAGGCAACGCGGCGTGCGATGAACTTACAGGCAACGCGGCGTGCGATGAACTTACAGGCAACGCGGCGTGCGATGAACTTACAGGCAACGCGGCGTGCGATGAACTTACAGGCAACGCGGCGTGCGATGAACTTACAGTCAACGCGGCGTGCGATGAACTTACAGGCAACGCGGCGTGCGATGAACTTACAGGCAACGCGGCGTGCGATGAACTTACAGGCAACGCGGCGTGCGATGAACTTACAGGCAACGCGGCGTGCGATGAACTTACGGGCAACGCGGCGTGCGATGAACTTACAGGCAACGCGGCGTGCGATGAACTTACAGGCAACGCGGCGTGCGATGAACTTACAGGCAACGCGGCGTGCGATGAACTTACAGGCAACGCGGCGTGCGATGAACTTACAGGCAACGCGGCGTGCGATGAACTTACAGGCAACGCGGCGTGCGATGAACTTACAGGCAACGCGGCAACGCGGCGTGCGATGAACTTACAGGCAACGCGGCAACGCGGCGTGCGATGAACTTACAGGCAACGCGGCAACGCGGCGTGCGATGAACTTACAGGCAACGCGGCGTGCGATGAACTTACAGGCAACGCGGCGTG